CCAGCTATATGACGGCGGTCTGTAAAATAATCGAGTCTGGGCCAGACAATCCAGTGATTGACATCATGAGCATCGATCCACGCAATTGGGATCGATGACATGTATCAACCAAGTCAGCGAGCCTGACCACCCGATCCCGTTAGTCACCTTTTTACGACAAGCATAGTCACCTTTTACGGCAAGCATGGGTTGATGAAGACCTATTCTACCCCGGAATCTTCACGGGTTGACGTGTGTTATGACGTGTATGATGACGTGTATGGTGTATTGTGACGTGTGTGGTGACGTGTTTGGTGAGAGGTCTATGAAGCCTGCACATCCAGCCGTACTAGGCTTACGAGGCACAATGACATTATATACACTAATAAAACATTACAACATGTATAGGTCACAATGCGCATATTTGAAAATAAAATAAACAGTAATTTGTCCTCGCAAATGCTGAGAGAAGTTACGGCCGCTCCCCCACACGCAAAGTGCAGGACTGTCGCCAGGCAGTGCTTGGTCTTTTACACGTATAACTAGGTGCGTTCCATGTTAAAACTTTGAGTGACCTGAATCACCCTAGATTACCACATGTCTGGCAACCAGGGTTGATTAGATTCAACCTGAGTTAACCTGTGTTAATCAAAGATAACTTATGGCAGTGCCTGATTTAAAACTCACAAAATAACCCTTAGATGCAATATATATTACAATACAATTGTCTGCCAGGAGAAGGAGAAACAACAGCAATGGGTGGTGCCATGAGACCTCGTGCTCGTGTTGACAGAGACCGAGATGCAAGGATCGAGAGACTGAAGCAGCAGCTTGCTACTGGCAGAAGATCAGTGATCCAGTTTCTGAATGCAGTTGGACATTTCATCAAATTACAGTAATTTTGCTAGTAATGATGTAGTGCTAATGTTATAAAACACGAAGATGATGGATATAAATGTACAGTGCTATGATAATACATGTGTATTTATGATATTTGATGTTGGGAAAACATTTGAGTTGTGAAGATGATCTCATATACGAAATGAAATTACAGTATCAAAAGTCATTTACATTCTTTGTTATCTTGTTGGAAGAGTTCATTTTACTTAAGGGATAAGGGTACAAGTGTGATGTGCACTCATCCATAACTTTGTTTTGATAGTAGTGTAGGCGATATGGATGAGGACAGGCCATGTGTATTGCTATAGCACACAACTATTGGAGGTTAACAAGTGCTGCATTACTCGACAAAGCTGTCATTGTACCTTTCCTGTTTAACGCTTATGAAACTGCAAAAAAGTTAAAAACAACGCTCATAACATCAAACCGTAAAATCAAAGGTTGTGAAGTGTTTATATCAACAATCGAAAGTAAATTACCCTCAGAAAGCACGTATACTACCAATACCTAAATATTTATATGCATTAAAATGCTTTAATTCGTGACCGAATCAATAATGAAACTAAGTGTCTTGACCGATGACGTCACTAACCAGAGTACCGTTCCCCAGGGGTTAAGCAGGTATGGGCAACTGAGGACAACCCGAGTATGACGTAAATCAGTTAAGATGAACCAGCATTGGTCATAAAAGGTTGAATTTGGTTAAACAGTAAACTACGTTTATAACGAACACGCTTATAACGAATTGACGGATATAACGAACATATTTTTTTCCCGGTCACTCGCTGTATATATGTTGTATATATGCCTATAACGAACTACGGTTATATAGAACTAATATCAGTGGTCCCTTTGAGTTCTTTATGACCGTAGTTTACTGTAATATCAGTGGTCCCTTTGAGTTCGTTATAACCGTAGTTTACTGTAATATTAGTGGTCCCTTTGAGTTCGTTATAACCGTAGTTTACTGTAATATCAGTGGTCCCTTTGAGTTCGTTATAACCGTAGTTTACTGTAATATCAGTGGTCCCTTTGAGTTCGTTATAACCGTAGTTTACTGTAATAACAGTGGTCCCTTTGAGTTCGTTATAACCGTAGTTTACTGTAATATCAGTGGTCCCTTTGAGTTCGTTATAACCGTAGTTTACTGTAAATTCAGTGGTCCCTTCGAGTTCATTATAATCGTAGTTTACTGTAATATCAGTGGTCCCTTTGAGTTCGTTATAACCGTAGTTTACTGTAATATCAGTGGTCCCTTTGAGTTCGTTATAACCGTAGTTTACTGTAATATTAGTGGTCCCTTTGAGTTCGTTATAACCGTAGTTTACTGTAATATCAGTGGTCCCTTTGAGTTCGTTATAACCGTAGTTTACTGTAATATCAGTGGTCCCTTTGAGTTCGTTATAACCGTAGTTTACTGTAATAACAGTGGTCCCTTTGAGTTCGTTATAACCGTAGTTTACTGTAATATCAGTGGTCCCTTTGAGTTCGTTATAACCGTAGTTTACTGTAATATCAGTGGTCCCTTGAGTTCGTTATAACCGTAGTTTACTGTAATATCAGTGGTCCCTTTGAGTTCGTTATAACCGTAGTTTACTGTAATATCAGTGGTCCCTTTGAGTTCGTTATGACCGTAGTTTACTGTAATATCAGTGGTCCCTTTGAGTTCGTTATAACCGTAGTTTACTGTACCTTGGTCAACACGGGTTCACCTGGGTCGTCCAGGGTTATCAAATCACAAGCTCTGATGCCTGACATGTTCTCTCAGTGAAAGATGTCTTCCATATGTGGAAGATGATTTCTAAACATGTTGTATATAACTTGTGTTGTGCATTGCTAATTATATGTGTCTTTTGTATTACATATAACGTGTCTCGTGTACTGTGTGTCCTATGTGTGAGTTAGTTTACTAAATATCAGCATGGGTTGCTGAAGACCTATTCTACCCCGGATCTTCACGGGTCAGTTTCGTATTAAGATTCATTTATATGGTCAGGACATTCTAGATATATTTTACATCTTTATATACTGTATATTTGACGCCTGACACCAAACCACGCCCTTTGTGTATGTGAGGAGAAATACACACCGGCAAATGTCTTTACATTAACAAAAGGAAGTGAGGCAACTGACGTCAAATTATTCACTTATTCAAGACAGTTTTCATAGGGTACAGTTGTTTCCTGTTGAGAAAAACATTTGTCAACCTCAATATAATAAATAATGTAGTAAATGGTAAATCAACCTCTTTTCGAAGTTTGAAACCTCTAAATTTTCGGAGTTTGAAACCTCCTTATTTGTCGGAGTTTGATACCTCCAATTTTTCTGACCTGAATATAATAAATAGTGTAAATGGTAGATCAACCTCTTTTCGATGTGATACCTCTAAATGGAAAACAGTTCGTCACAAATGAGTCTCTCTACGGGGTAGATTCCAACTGTGACACGATTGCTGACAAATTTGTTGAAAGAACCAGTCTGTCCTTCATGGAGCTCTCTGTAGTTTGTGACAATTCGAGGGCGAAGTTCCATGTTTTAACATTTGGCGAACTGATGACTCACACCAATGGGATTCAACACGCTTGTAGAGCTTATTCTTTCAATCCAATTGAACACAACATAAACAACATTTCAGTGCTTTCATTATCCCCTATATCATAACGAGGATAACAGTACACATAATGTTGTCATAGAAATTAGAGACGGACAGGTGTAACTCTAATGGACCAAGTCATGTTTTCATATCAATAAAGGATAGTGTAGGTACACATGATATATGTACATGTATATATAAATTTGAAGATTATCAACATTTCCTGGCTAAATGAACATTGTTTGGAATGTTAAAAACGACAGCAGTGGACATTAATGGTTATGATACTTTGTATGAAGGTCTTATAGACTGGTTTTAGAATGGCTCAGACGACGCAATAAATACAATCGTTGCTGTGCCTTTTGTAAATGTAATCTGTATTAACATTCAATGTTAGATTGGGATCAGGCTTGTTTCATTTACCTCATAATCGTTTCTTTGTTCCCTAAACATTCAAACGCAAATAGGTTTCTTGACACCAATTCAGAAATTATTAAACAGTTTAGTTGAGTATGCAACCTGGTATTATCAATAATATAGCAGGAGTAGAATTTTATTCATTGTTATTTTTATTCCACTACCAATACAATGTTTTCGAGAACTAAATGTAACCACAAGCTCCCGTGATGAAGCACACTGCAGGGGTCTGGTCATGGGCTCTTGGTCCTAAGCCAAACCACATGTGCTGTTGTCTATATTGAAGGGCATTAAAATAATCAGAGGGTAGAACCACGCTTCTTATGACAAGACGAGTAACATGCCCTTGTTTGTACGGTTGGTTGCACATATGTGTGCATGAAGCGCCAAGTGAGCCATGGCACAAATAGTTGGACATGCCATTCTACCTCGAGAAAGTGAGAAAATATACGTGAACTTTTTTTTAATAAGGGAAGTTTAGCGCCTACAGTGAGTGAGTATGGTTTTACGCCGCTTTTCGCAATATTCCAGCAATATCACTGCGGGGGACACCGGAAAGTTGGCTTCAGAACATTGTACCAATGTAGGGAATCGAACCCGGGTCTTCGGCGCGACGAGCGAACACCAGACTACATCACCACTCCAGTAGCGCCTACAAGCTGACGGAAATAGCCGATAGTGAGATAGGTGTTGATTTTACCGAATTTCGCAACCGTGAGCGGGCAATTTCAGTTATATCAGTGTGTCTCTTTGGTGTGGGAGGAAAACACGAAGTGCTGCAGGTATTAGCTATTTAACAGTTTGGTGAAATCAACGAACACGAGTAGGGTGTTGACAAACCTAGACACATAATCATTGCTCGTTGTTGCTCATAATATCAGCCACTGGTCACAAAGCAACGTTGAACGCCGTCGGTCCAGAAACGAACGTTACAGACCGCTGATTGCAAAACTTCTGATTGCGACTTCAAACAACATACTCCTCTCTAAACCGATTCTGTATAGGAAATCCATGAATCCATTTTTTTGTCTTGTACGTAGAACGCGCAGCGCGACCTTGACCCTTGTCCCTCGCGCTGAGGAGACCTGCCACCATATATATATATTCATCTGACAGTTGATACCACCCTGTAAACACAGCCGACAACGCGCAGCCGGTCCCCCGTCGCATATTCAAGGCTAGAATACAGCGTCCGGCCGTGAAGAGTCGGTATCGAGTTAGAAGGGAGTTTTGGTAGTGTCCGAGCACTGACCTTGACCACACCCGCCTTGCGTCTACATCCCGGAGGTGATAAACAGCATCATCAGGTAGGTGAACTGCACGTGAATGTATTCTCCTATCAGAGATAGAAAGGAAAGTGGGACTGGCCTTTTTCAAACATTACGCAATTTTATCTCAGGCATAAACAATGACTCTGATATGAGCAGCGTTGAAACTCGTGGTCGTGGTGTTAGGAAAAGTGTGAGTCTATGAAAGCATGGGAGTTTCTCTTGTCATCAAAGCGTATTGTAGGAGACAAGTACACGTGTACTTATGTTGTCATCAAAGCGTAATGAAGGAGACAAGTACACGTGTACTTATGTTGTCATCAGAGCGAATTGACGGAGACAAGTACACCTGTTGTAATGTTGTCATCAGAGTGTATTGTAGGAGACAACTACACGTGTGTACTTATGTTGTCATCAGAGGGTATTGAAGGTGACAAGTACACCTGTACTTATGTTGTCATCAGAGCGTATTGACGGAGACAAGTGCACCTGTACTTATGTTGTCATCAGAGCGTACTGAAAGAGACAAGAACACCTGTACTTATGTTGTCATCAGAGCGTATTGTAGGAGACAAGTGCACCTGTATTATGTTGTCATCAGAGCGTATGGTAGGAGACAAGTACACCTGTACTTATGTTTGTCATCAGAGCGTATTGTAGGAGACAAGTGCACCTGTACTTATGTTGTCATCAGAGCGTATGGTAGGAGACAAGTACACCTGTACTTATGTTGTCATCAGAGCGTACTGAAAGAGACAAGTACACCTGTACTCATGTTATCATCAGAGCGTACTGAAGGAGACAAGTACACCTGTACTTATGTTGTCATCAGAGCGTATGGTAGGAGACAAGTACACCTGTACTCATGTTGTCATCAGAGCGTATTGAAGGTGACAAGTGCACCTGTACTTATGTTGTCATCAGAGCGTATTGTAGGAGACAAGTACACCTGTACTCATGTTGTCATCAGAGCGTATTGTAGGAGACAAGTACACGTGTACTCATGTTGTCATCAGAGTGTACTGAAGGAGACAAGTACACGTGTACTCATGTTGTCATCAGAGTGTACTGAAGGAGACAAGTACACGTGTACTCATGTTGTCATCAGAGCGTATTGTAGGAGACAAGTACATCTGTACTCATGTCGACATCAGAGCCTATTGTAGGAAACGTCTATATTTCCTCCACTACTTTCGGAGAGTACAAGGACAGAACTACATACGAGTATTAACATGCACTTTTTACTCGATGACCTGTTAAAGATACGGGATAGATTGCAGCTGCCATGAGCTGATTTCCTGCGCCACGATGTTGATTAATTGTCCCCACGTATCAAGCGACATCCCGTCCACAAGGGGTGTAATACCACGAAGCAATGTCACAATCTATACTTCATGGTCATCACAGTCTTCTACTTGAAGGTACTGGTTTAATGAGAAGTGGTCAAACAGTTTTTCATACAGAATATTCCGATGTGCTGTGATCCTATCACAGTCCACAAGCTGGTAATACACAATGTCAGCACAGTCATTGTCACCCATGTGACAGACGACAGATGTAACAGGGAGAATTCCAAGTTTAACTATAGCATATATTCGTCTATTATACATATTGTCCATCTTACATATGTTCCATAGTCGGAGCTAGTCGTTCATGTATTTTGCAGAATCGTTGTGGATCCTGGCATCTTGATATTTTCTCTGTCTGGTTCCGGGCTTTAGCCCTCCTGGTGGATTGTTCACAGTTCTCCTCCATGTCGACCGCCTCCGTGGTCTAGTGGTAGAGCGTCCGCCCGGAGAGCGGAAGGTCCGGGGTTCGATCCCCGGCCGTGTCATACCAAAAGACATTGAAAGATGGTACTTGTTGTTACCCTGTCTGGCGCTCGGCATTAAGGGGCTTAAACAAGGACTGGTCGGCTCGGAGTCAGTATACTGTGTCTGAGTGGGGTATTCATGTTAAACTGCGGCATGGTATCCCTGTGAGCTAGCACTATAAATCGGCATCAGTCCCGACTAGTACAAGCAGCCACACAAACACACACACGTACATGCAAATACAAATTTCACCTCACCTTACCTCTCCTCCATGTCGCCTTTGTAGGGAAATGTCCGTCATTAATATACGCTTCAATTACATAAAACAGTCCATACTGTTTGACTACGTTAAGTAGACCATGTATCACTGATGTTTTGTTTGTTTGTTTGTTGTTTAACGCCGCACTAAGCAATATTCCATCTATATGACGGCGGTCTGTAATTAATCGAGTCTGGACCAGACAATCCAGTGATTGATACCATGAGCATCGATCCACGCAATTGGGATCGATGACATGTATCAACCAGATCTGCGAGCCTGACCACCCGATCCCGTTAATCGCCTTTTACGACAAGCATAGTCGCCTATTACGGCAAGCATGGGTTGCTGAAGACCTATTCTACCCCGGAATCTTCACGGGTCGTATCACCGATGTACGATGGATGTCTTTCCTCACGTATTGTGTCAATCTGAAGTAAAACAAGGTCTTGATGAAATGTTGTGATTTAGATATACATAATCTACCAATGTAAACCAGCATGCATTTGTCCATCACAGATTCTACTGTTCATAGACCAAGCGTTAGCGTGGTGACGTCATCTGGCGATATTCTGTGGAAGTTCTGCACTAATCCGGCGAAATAACATTGTGATACGTCTTGCTCATGTAGCTCCTCTACAGAGGAGAATAACTCAACGCCATATTTGAACGCAGGATACAGGAGTTAGGCCCCCCTGCTCGGAGTCCAATGTCTCTTAGAGAGCCAAAGGTATGTCTGTAATTGGAACATGCTCTTGTAGTTCTCTTTGTGTGTAGGCATTACACATCCGGCGTATACAGTGGTGGTATTAACTTGAAGTTTCGTTCTGTGAAGTTTGAAAACAATCTGCTCTATGGCTGCCAGTGTAGACAAGACCACAACTTTTCTTCGCGTTGTATGATAGTCTCCACTGACAGGTATATTCATGAACTTCATCAAGAAACATCTGCATTTCTATCTGTGAAGATCTAATCAGTGTTGTAACGTCTACTATCAGCACAGTAGGAGTTTGTTCCCCTTCAACGATGTCTTGTATTGGCAAAGTCGAGGTCAGCAATAAATCCATTAAATATAAACTAAAAACATCCGTGCTGATAGAACTCGTCGTTGCCAAACACCCTGACGAACTTTGAAGAAGTCACTTGCATATCCGTCATATTTGACACATGATGTAGCGCCTTTATATGAATGTGGTATCAGGTTTCAGACTCGACCATATATTCCGCATTCGGACAATTTCAGGAGTAGGCCATCGTGTCAGTACTGCAAGACTGACTCGGAACTTTCTAAACCAGCAGAACGTTGACGTTTTGCCCTGGCCTGCCAACTCACCCGATATGAATCCTATTGAACATATGTGGGACCATCGTGACAGACATATTAGAGCACGCCATCAGCCTCCCGTCAACAGACAAGAATTGCAGCAGGCCCTGAGAGACGAGTGGCAACGGATTCCAGTCCACGTCATCAGAAGACTGACGTCATCGATGAGGGGACGTAACACAGCATGCATTGAGGCAGCTGGAGGTCATGCACGCTATTGAAGGCAACTGTGTCGACAATGAACTTATAGTGTGTCTGACAAGTTTTTGGTGACATTTCAGCCAACTTTTGAAAATGAAATTTCTTACCCCACCATCGTTTACCTTGAGCTTACATTACCTGTGATTGCACAATTTCATTCAAACTGTGGTTGATCAATCATTTGTTACCCCTCCCTAGATTATATTAATTTTATATATTTATAATTCCCAACAAAACCTCTTCTTGTTATTTTTATCGATCGTGGAACTGGACCTATACTTTCTTTTGCCGCCCAGTTTAGATGGATAGCAGTTGTGGCGCCATGTTCCTTTCTAAAGCCGCATTGAAGTTTATTTGGGAAGCTCGGATTTGACACTATTTGAGGATTATCCGTTTGAATAACTCTACAAATACACCTGTAATTATGCTGTCATCAGAGCGCATTGTCGAAAACAAGTACACATGCACTCATGTTGCCATCAGAGCGTATTGAAGGAGACAAGTACACACGTACTCCTTTTGTTATCAGAGCGTATTGAAGGAAACAGGTACACATGCACTCATGTTATCAACGACATGTGTTGTAGGAGATGTATATACGTGTGATGTTGCTGACGCTGGCGCTATGCTGTCTGTGGTTTCCGGTTTGTGCCGTCGTCGACAGTGACATGAAGTTCGTGGACCTGACCCACCCAGTGGGCGATCGTGAAAACCCACCGGGGAGCCCGCCATTTAATCTCACACGCATCCTCACCATGAACATTCGCCCTGGAATAGTGTAAGTATGGGAAGTTCACCACATATTGATACTCACGGATACAGTATATAATAAGACCTGCAGTAATGTCGCAGTTAGAAACTGAGCTCCACAAAGTTTATAATATTTAATCCATTCGAACCCTAGTGTCAATTTCTGGAACGATTTCAGCTTGCAAATGGAGTTAATTAAAGGATGGCCTGCCTCGGGCTATTCAGTCCTAGCAAGTAATTATGAACCCACGTATTTGTCTGCTAACTCAAATTGTGTGATGTGTTACACCAATTATAAGTTTTATAAGTTCATGATCGATCACATTTACTAAATTTACATGGAAATAATGTGACAGTTCATAGTAGGTATGTCTACACACAAACTGTAGTGAGTGAGTGAGTATGGTTTTACGCCGCTTTTAGCAATATTCCAGCAATATCACGGCGGGGGACACCAGAAATGGGCTTCACACATTGTACCCATGTCGGGAATCGAACCCGGGTCTTCGGCGTGACGAGCGAACGTTTTAACCACTAGGCTACCCGACCGCCCCCACAAACTGTAGAGCAGACTCCTCTATTAATAGTGTAGTTTTTTAGTTTTGTCGTTTTCATCCTCATTTCTTTTGTCCTCCTTGTTAATCAATATTAATGACATTAATCTATCATGAGCTCATTTTCCACCAGAGCCGAGGCCAATGCGTTCAGTACCCCCGAACACCCCGGCACCCACATCGACGCCCCCCTTCACTTCTGCCCGTCGGGACTGCCCGTCGGGGACATTCCCATCCAACAACTCAGCGGACCTGGTTTCGTCCTTGACCTTACAGCGGAAGCGGAAGCGAACCCGGATTTCCAGGTCACCACGCAAACCTTGACAAACTTTGAAAAGGTGCATGGTCGCATTCAGGATGGTGCTGTAGTTTTATTTAATTTCGGCTGGGACAAATTCTGGCCTGACATGAATCGAGTGTATAATTCGGAATCAATGTTGATAGGGACATACCACTACCCAGGTCTGAGTCCATATGCGTCAAGATGGCTGACATCCAACAGGAAGGTCCATGCTGTGGGGAGTGACACCCCCTCCATTGACTACGGCCTGACGACCTTGTTTGAAACTCACGTGAACCTATTGTGTGACAATGGCGTCATCATATTGGAAAATGTGGCTAATCTAGGAAACATGACAGCGACAGGGTCACGTGTATACATCGGCGCCATAAGGTTGGAGAGGGGGAGCGGAACACCCGCTCGGATATTTGCCACCCTGGATTCAGGTTCCGAAGCATCCCTCGCACCTGGTCCTGCTGCTGCTGTTGTGACGCTTGTCGTGTTCGGAGTGTTACAGATTTCAGCGTAGATGTCCATGTTAGGATTGTGGGCTATAAAGTGATATCAGTTCCAGAGTATCATAAATTGTATCATAAAGTCGTAGAGATTGATCGCTTTTGAAAAGTGGTGACGTTTATATCTTGTCCGCAAGTTGTATCATCACTTTAGTAACGGCTATGTTCTCGACCCAATACTGTATACTGTCCCATCGTACAAAAGTACATATCAACGTCATAAAGATGAATTGTTACCATAGCAATGTATATGTATCCTTTTTAGAAAAGTAAATTGTCATCATAGGAATTATATATATATATTCTTGTCAGAAACATTGTATGTCACCATAGCGACGGATACATTATTAGAAACCATTACCTAGATTAGTCACAATAAACGGATTTAGCCTTTTTTTTATCATAGACGGAACTTTGTTTTTAGACAGTGCCTCAACTACTATATAGACCAAATTTAAAAAAAAATTGTTAAAGATAATTTAAAGCACAAAAATAGCTTCGTCAGTGATCGTCTTTAGCGGCAATCCTTAGGTCCGCTTGCTATAGTCCGTCAACCATCATTTGACACACGTTTTTTCAGAATCATTTTCCATTAAATACACATTCACGCAACTAAAGTTAGTTATTATCTAATAATAAAAAATACCTTACTAGAAATACCTGTTTTGTAATATTTCATGTCCGAATACAAATATTTCCTTCTTTGTTATCATGTGAGTTTGTTACCGCCGGCGTGGCACTGTAGTGGGGGAGAACACAGACGATTTACCGTCTCACAACAATGGCATAATGTGTGCTAAACATCCTTGCTGCATGCATGACCCAAGGCCTCGTCCAATGGAAAAACCGCATCGTTGTAAACTTCACATTAAAAATCTCAACTTGCACAGAAAGCAGATGACCGCGAGACAGTTATTAAAGTTGGGCATAATGTGTCCAATATTATTTTTGGAATACTATTATGTTTATTTTGTTTGCAGCAACATGTCCAGTCCAGAAAATACTACTGATATTAAAAACATCGAGTAAACTTACCTTGCCGGTACCTATGTAATATGACCTAGACGACCGACAAGTATGTATCTCACCGTGCTTGTAAGTGACACTCTTCTGTTAACTCACAATGAGAACACTGAATAGTGACAGTTTAAATCTGCCGCATATGTAGGCATGACAGCACGGGTCCAGAATGTGCCATAGACTTGAGAATCCGCAATTGAACAACTGCCTTATTAATCTGCCACTAGGTTTGCCACATTAACACGAACTGGTCAGTTATGTTGTGTTTTGACCAGTTAGTAGTTTGCACGAGCAAATGTTAATATGGTTAAGCAGCAGAAAGATGCAGGTAATGGTAGACGTATGCTTGATAAAGATGCTAGTTCCAAAGGTCACAATAAAAAAGCATGCTAATCAGACAGTTACTTGTCATTTAATCAAAGCATATTTTCGACCCGTGAAGATCCGCTGTAGAAAAGGTCTTCAGCAACCCATGCTTGCCGTAAAAGGCGACTATCGGGATCGGGTGGTCAAGGTCACTGACTTGGTTGATGCATGTAATCTTATCCCAATTGCGTGGATCGATGCTCATGACATCAATCACTTGGATGTCTGGTCCAGACTCCATTATTTACAAACCGCCGTTATATAGCTGGAATATTGCGTTAAACAAACAAATAACCAAGCAACCAAGCAACCAACCAACCAAACAAACAAACAAAACATATTATCAGGGAGTCTATTTAGAGTCTCCCTGATGTTATGAACCTTAAAACAAGATTAAGCTCCACTCCCAGCAGTTTGATACAATGTGGATTAAATTAATGAGGTTCTTGTGCAGATGTGTAAGTCCTGGTGTGACAGTCGTCTGCCATGTGTTTCAGCAAAGGGGTACGTCTTCTCACTATCTTCCCACAAGGATACGCCGAGATATCACTCACTCACTCACTCATGCACTCGTCAGCACTCAAGGTCAGCATACATAATTCTTCGTACAAAGCATTTCTTAAATAGCAGACTGAAAATAAGATTATTTACTGATTATAACGCAAATTAACACTGTGCATTTGACATTCCCATGTAGATTACAAAACCAATTTTGATGCGATACACCCCACAATCGTTGAGCAAAAGAAACTGAAAATACTTGCCTGTTTCCAACACCCTGGTTTAACCAAACAAAACCATACCCAAGTTCAAACAAAATCCGATCCGTTTGCCTTCCGGCATTATCTGGGGAACCTATGACATCGCACGAACAACAATTTTATACAGTGGGATATACATTGCACAACATACAATAGGTATACAGTGAGTACCTTCCTAATTCACGAAGTTCAGCAGCATTGCTTGTTTTACCAAAATGCCCCAAAATTCGGTTACAAAAATATAGCTGTTCCCTTTCATTACATGTTCAATGTTGATATCACTGAACGTCAGATGCTTTCATTATAATAGGTGCACTCATTCTGTCAAACAAGAACATTGGTGTATTTACAGTGAGCTTATAACTAGATATGTGCTGTATTACCCTAGAATACCACGACATGAAATACTAATAAATACGTATCACAATACGTTTGAAAAATACCGTTATATTGTGTTTTTTTCAAAATCATGCATATCTTCATCAGATAGAAATCTTTACACAAGCATGTGATAAGTGACAAATCGAATTCAATAATGAAAATAAAGGAATAAACAATTGTTTTCTGTGATCGAAAAGGCGAAATTATTTGTGACTGGTTTCCTGTATATGATGTGTGTATTACGCATGTTTTGTATACAGACACTGCAGGGACGATACACTAGGAGGGGCGCGGCTACTCTGGGAACGCTTGTAAGCGTATGTTGAAGCGATTACCTCTAATGTACACACATACCCCTCCTGGATTTCTACCAAGTGTACCTTTCTCCTCATAAGACGAGAAACAAACATGATCCTTACAAATATCTTTTCACTTTTCTTATGATATCTTATCTGTAACCCGACCATGATCCAAAGACAGCATCCTGCACCATCCGTATACAGACAGTCCCTGCTAGGACACTGGTAACAGGGGCGTCTCCTCATTCTATCTGGCGTTTCCAATTTCAGTAATGGTGGCTTCTTCTGTGCCACATGTGTATCTCTCCTCCCCAACAAACAATTTACAGGACTGGATATATACCAGGTGAAGTGAAATAGTAGTTAGGTAAATATTTGAAGAATGACCCGGTTTAAATCTTTGATGAAGTTAAGGGTCAGTTACATACAACTGATAATGGTAAGGGTTTTTCATTTATCATTGATAAGGCGAACGGTCAGCTATATATCATTGATAAGGCGAGCGGTCAGTTAGAAATCATTGATGAAGTAAGCGGTCAGTTATGTATCATTGATAAGGCGAGGGGTCAGTTATATATCATTGATGAAGTAAGTGGTCAGTTATATATCATTGATGAAGTAAGGGGTCAGTTATATATCATTGATGAAGTAAGGGGTCAGTTATATATCATTGATGAAGTAAGGGATCAGTTATAGATCATTGATAAAGTAAGCCTTAAGTAAAGGGTCAGTTATATATCACAGATGAAATATATCAGTTATGTATGATAGAAGAAGTTTAGGGAAAATTATATATAATTGATAAGGTAAGGGGTTATTTATATATCACATGTGAAATAAAGGGTCAGTTAAATATGATAGAAGAAAAGGGTCAGTTATATATCATAGATGAAATAAAGGGTCAGATATATATGACAGAAGAAAAGGGTCACTAATATATCACATATGAAATAAAGGGTCAGATGTATATGATAGAAGGAAAGGGTCAGTTATATATCATAGATGAAATAAAGGGTCAGATATATATGATAGGAGGAAAGGGTCAGTTATATATCATAGATGAAATAAAGGGTCAGATATATATGATAAAAGGAAAGGGTCAATTATATATAATAGATAAAATAAAGGGTCAGATATATATGATAGAAGGAAAGGGTCAGTTATATATCAAAGATGAAATAAAGGTTACATATCACAGAGAAGGTGTAGGGTCAGTAATATATCATTGATAAGGTTAAGGGACAGTTACATATCAATGAATTGGTAAACGGCCGTTTTTCATGACAGAATAAGTAAAGGTTATATATAATAGAGAAGACATAGGGTCAGTTATAAATCACCTTTTTTACAGGATCAGTTATATTTTTGATCACTTATATGGTAAACGGTCGTTATATATGATAGAGAAGACATAGGGTCAGTTATATATCACCTTTATGGTACAGGATCAGTTATATATCACTTATATGGTAAACGGTCGTTTTATGTGATGGAAGAAGTAAAGCGTCAGTTACACATCACAGTTGACGTAAAGGATTATGAATGCAGAATAGTTGAAATTATATCTTAATATTCATGTTCATATTATTATTCAAGACTGCGCCCAGAGTGGTTTATTCTCCCTGCAGTGTTTTATTGTACGGTAAACAACGACAACGAGTCGTTTATTTCTTATATGCGATCTTAACATTATGTACCGCCTCTTTAAGGATGTTGATAAAATGTACAAACTTTAAAAATATTTACCCAAATTTCAATAATGATGACTTCCTGAATAGAATCCGACCTGTTTTACGAACAGGTGGGTTAAGTTTGGTATTTCTCGCATATTCACTCTATCTGCACGTCGATTATCTGGACCTTTTCACCCAATACCGATTGTCATATCTCTCCCACTTTTGGATGCGATCGATAGGCCACTGCGTTTATCTGCGTTGCCCAGCTACATCTATAGGAAACAACTTATTAGACACTTCCCTCGAAAAAAATAACGTCGTCTAATATATGACGTCATCCAATTGCGAACGCATATTTGAATCTCTAGAAATGATGTCATGCTGGAAAATATTGTATCGGGAAATAAACCACGCTTCGTTCTTCATTGTTCTTTGCGATTTACCGCTTCGCTATGTTATATGACCTGATAAAATGTCGAAATTTAATGGAACTGGGACAAACTTAAATAAGTACCATCACACCCAACACAATGTAACAATAGAGTGATCACACGAACGGTGAGTGAGTGAGTGAGTGAGTGAGTGAGTGAGTGAGTGAGTGAGTGAGTGGTGTTTAACACCGCTTTTAACAGCATTCCAGTTATATCACGGCGTGTCAGCTTAATGTGGGAGGAAAGCCCGAAGTGGTGCAAGTCACATACGTTTAACACTTTGGTGAAGCCCACGTGCACGGGTATGGTGCTGACAAATCAAAATCATAAGGGCGAACCGGAATTCGAACCCACAATCATGGGTTTCTGACGTGCCAAAGGGGCGCAACTCTGCATCGCGAATTGCGGCGCCTTAGGCGACTGGACCACCCGTGCCTCCAAAGCAGGGAAGAGCTTCTGAACCAGAAACACAGGAATTGTGTATTAATAATAAAAATGCAACCATTGTTAATAAGAGTTATTAGCACATATAAATCTACGTCTTCATATAAATGAAACTGCCTCCGTGGTCGAGTGGTAGAGCGTCCACCCGGAGAGCGAAATGTCGGGAAGTTCAATCCCCGGCCGCGTCATAGCAAAAGACGTTTAAAGATGGTACTTGTTGTTACCCTGCCTGACGCTCGGCATTAAGGGGCTGAAACAAAGACTGATTGGCTCGGAGTCATTACTGTCAGTACACTGTGTCTGAGTGAGTTATTCATGTAAACCTGGCATGATATCCCAGCGAGCTATCATTATAAAATCGGCATTAGTCCGGACTAGTACAAGCACAACACACACACACACACACACACACACACACACACACACACACACACACACACACACACACACACACACACACACACACACACACACACACACACACACACGTGCATACATGTCGCTATATAAGGGCAATAATCTTGAACGCGGCGTTAAACCCCATTTCACTTCACTTTATGTAAATCAATATTCTTCTCCTTTTGTTGCAGGTTTCAACCACGTGTTGGTGTAGACATGAACGTCTTCTGTATACTTGTAAGCACGTGCCTGTGCCTCGGTCTGGCTGAAGATGAGATCATTGACCTCACTCACACGTTCGGGAAAAGGACGATCTACTGGCCGGGAAATCCCCCGTTTAACTTTTCCAACGTCTTCCTGATAAATGTGTCCCCGGGAGTTGTGTAAGTGTGTGGGAGGATGAGTGAGGTTGATGTCAGCTTATTGTGTGAGGAAAACCCAAGCTTACGCAGGTGCACGTAGGGTTATCTGAGGGACATACCCATACTTTGTGAGGTATCGGCTCAGACACTGAGGGCGGTATTGATAGAGTTATACCAAATTCAGGGTCTTAAATGGTTAACCGGCAACTTATGAATTGAAGGCGAATTTCACAAAAGAAGTTGAATAAAATATAGCAATTTTAACACTGTTACAATTGCAAAGGGCGCGCAGACAGGTTGTTGTCACGTGGCTATAGGTACCCCCATCTATATCGTACTGATAGCTATAGGTACCCCCATCTATATCGTACTGATGGCTATAGGTACCCCCATCTATATCGTACTGATAGCTATAGGTACCCCAATCTATATCGTACTGATGGCTATAGGTACCCCCATCTATATCGTACTGATGGCTATAGGTACCCCCATTTATATCGTACTGATGGCCTTTTCTCTTTGCTATTCGTGATAATCTTGACATGACTGTTTTTGTTTTCGTAAATTCCGAAACTAAATGTCGATGTTAGATGACTTTTATACGCTTATACGGATGGAGATAGTTCTGCATTACATTTGCCATTGTTAAAGTCATTTCTTACGTATTTGAGCGATGAAATTAACTTTTTCACAAACTGCCATGTTGGCTGCGTTTGGTTGAAGCTTTATATTATGCAGCGTTTTTTCAAATGTTGGGACATTAAAATAATTTGGTAACGTTTCTTTGCTCGTCAGTTTATGTGTACCCGTGTTCGAATTGGTCTCCAAGTACCGTACTTGCTGGTTGTAGGAAAGGGTTAAGTTGGATAGTAAGGTCAGTATTTGACTGAATGCTATCTTGCCCCTACTGCTTGGGTTGTTGCTGATGTTGCCTGGTCCAGAATAGATTATTGAGTGGCGCCGTGATGAGGATGGAAAGTTGCTCACTGCGGCGTTGAACAACATTAGCTCGATAATTCTGACATGTATTTAGAATTGTGATCTGCTTTACCAACTTTTCACAAACTGCCATGTTGGCTGCGTTTGGTTGAATCTTTATATTATGCAGCGTTTTTTCAAATGTTGGGACATTAAAATAATTTGGTAACGTTTCTTTGCTCGTCAGTTTATGTGTACCCGTGTTCGAATTGGTCTCCAAGTACCGTACTTGCTGGTTGTAGGAAAGGGTTAAGTTGGATAGTAAGGTCAGTATTTGACTGAATGCTATCTTGCCCCTACTGCTTGGGTTGTTGCTGATGTTGCCTGGTCCAGAATAGATTATTGAGTGGCGCCGTGATGAGGATGGAAAGTTGCTCACTGCGGCGTTGAACAACATTAGCTCGATAATTCTGACATGTATTTAGAATTGTGATCTGCTTTACCAACGGGTTGTTATAATGTGTTTTTTTTTGTGTTATGCAGAGCGGAAGCCAATGCGTTCCAGACAGCCGAGCACAGCGGGACTCACATGGATGCCCCCAGACACTTTTGTCCCAAGGGGAAGCGTGTGGAGGAAGTTGTCATGGATCGGTTGTCAGGACCTGGGGTCGTCATCGATGTCAGAAAAGAATCAGAATCCAACCCTGATTTCCAGGTCAGCGAGCAGACTTTCACAGACTGGGAGGCGATGCATGGCACCATTCCAGACGGAGCGATCGTACTTTTCAACTTTGGCTGGGACAAGTTTTGGCCTGAAAGAAAGCGTGTCTTCAACTCCGATGATGTCATGAATCCATCAAGTTTCCACTTTCCAGGGTTGAGTCCCGATGGAACAAAATGGTTGACGAGCAACCGCCGAGTGCACGCGGTGGGGGGCGATACTCCATCTGCCGACCCTGGTCAGACAACTTTATTCGAGGCACACGTGATGTTGCTGTGCGATAATGAGATTATAATTCTGGAGAATGTAGCTAATCTAAACAGTATGCCAGCTACTGGAACTAAGGTATACATTGGCGCCCTGAAGCTTGAACATGGGAGTGGAACACCTGTCAGGCTGTTCGCTGTTCCTATGTCTAATGCCGCCGTGTCCGGGTGTTCTATGTGGCTGTTCACGTTGAGTATGCTGTTACTAGCATTGCTTTAATCAACCGGTGTTCCGGTGTACTATGTGGCTGTTCACGTTGAGCATGTTGTTAATAGCATTGCTTTAATCAACCGGTGTTCCGGTGTACTATGCGACTGTTCACGTTGAGTATGCTGTTACTAGCATTGCTTTAATCAACCGGTGTTCCGGTGTACTATGCGACTGTTCACGTTGAGTATGCTGTTACTAGCATTGCTTTAATCAACCGGTCTTCCAGTGTACTATGTGGCTGTTCACGTTGAGTATGTTGTTAATAGCATTGCTTTAATCAACCGGTATTCTATGTGGCCGTTCAAGTTGAGTATCTTGTTAATGGCATGGCTTTAATAATCCGGTGTTCCTGTGTTCTATGTGGTTGTTGGCATTGTTTGTAGGAAGACCTTAATGCCTGCTTCGTCTGACACTCACACCACTGTTTGGTGTTCCACGTATCATGCCATTGTGGCTTTGTGTTCTGGTCCAATATTCGAGATTTATTGCTGGAAATAACAGCTTCAATGAAGCCTCCTTTCATTTCACACTTAGCAGCACTGATCGGTGATCCGTATCTAGTCTGTGTGTTCTATTCCAATATCCGTGGTTTATTGCTGGTAGGAACAGCTTCACTGACACTTCCCTTCCCTACTGGCACATCAGTAGTCGGTGATCCATATCTAGTCTGTGTGTTCTATTCCAATAATCGCTGCTTAATGTTGTCGATAAAAACAGTGTGTTCTATTCCAAAATTCGTAGTTTATTGCTGGTAGGAACAGCTTCACTGACGCTTCCCTTCGTTCGACACTGGCACATCACTGCTCGACGATCCGTACAGCTTCACTGACGCTTCCCTTCGTTTGACACATGCACGGCACTGCTCGGTGATCCGTATCTAGTCTGTGTGTTCTATTCCAATATTCGTAGTTTATTGCTGGTGGGAACAGATTCACTGACGCTTCCCTTCGTTCGACACTGGCACGGCACTGCTCGGTGATCCGTATCTAGTCTGTGTGTTCTATTCCAATATTCGTAGTTTATTGTTGGTAGGAACAGATTCACTGACGCTTCCCTTCGTTCGACACTGGCACGGCACTGCTCGGTGATCCGTATCTAGTCTGTGTGTTCTATTCCAAAATTCGTAGTTTATTGCTGGTGGGAACAGATTCATGGACGCTTCCCTTCGTTCGACACTGGCACAGCACTGCTCGGTGATCCGTATCTAGTCTGTGTGTTCTATTCCAATATTCGTAGTTTATTGCTGGTGGGAACAGATTCACTGACGCTTCCCTTCGTTCGACACTGGCACGGCACTGCTCGGTGATCCGTATCTAGTCTGTGTGTTCTATTCCAAAATTCGTAGTTTATTGCTGGTGGGAACAGATTCATGGACACTTCCCTTCGTTCGACACTGGCACGGCACTGCTCGGTGATCCGTATCTAGTCTGTGTGTTCTATTCCAATATTCGTAGTTTATTGCTGGTGGGAACAGATTCACTGACGCTTCCCTTCGTTCGACACTGGCACGGCACTGCTCGGTGATCCGTATCTAGTCTGTGTGTTCTATTCCAAAATTCGTAGTTTATTGCTGGTGGGAACAGATTCATGGACGCTTCCCTTCGTTCGACACTGGCACGGCACTGCTCGGTGATCCGTATCTAGTCTGTGTGTTCTATTCCAAAATTCGTAGTTTATTGCTGGTGGGAACAGATTCATGGACGCTTCCCTTCGTTCGACACTGGCACGGCACTGCTCGGTGATCCGTATCTAGTCTGTGTGTTCTATACAGCTTACTTAATAATGCCCCATATCTGCACGAGATAAGCATCATATTAGGGTCCCCCTGAACTGGTAATTAGTGATGTAACTTACACTCTAATAATGTTCATATGGAGTCAAATAAACCATAAAATCCCACACATCTTTGTTCTCATGACTTAAAAACGATCTTTGAGCATCACCGTCTACATCGATCGTCCTCTGTGACGGATGTGTTGTACAATCAACGTCCGTAATTAGGTTTGTAATTAAACTTTGAAAACAGATATTTTTTTATTGGTTACGCAAAAAAGGCAAAACGAATATTTTAAGTTGCCTTCCACAAACCATCCAAGACCTTAGTTCATTTAGTACACGTGGTGAAAGGAATTCGCGTTTATGACCAGAAAAGACAGCCCTTGTCACATTCAGGTTAATTTTTCCAGCCTCTCAAAGACCAGGAAATGTAATTTGACGTCGGATGGATGAGTGTTAGAATACAATGAAAACTTTTAGCAATAAGCCAGTAATATCACGGCGGGGACAACAGAAATGTTTTTTTACGCATTGTACCCATGTTGGGAATCGAACCCGGACCTTCGGTGTGACGAGCCAGCGCTTTAACCACTAGGCCACCCGACCGCCCCCGATAAAGACGGAAGCATAACAATATGTTATGGGTCAATCGGGTCAAACCATGGACGTTGTATGTTGACTTCGATGACACAAGCAGCCAGGTCACACATTGAAACAATTCGATCAGTATTAGTCAATTCCTAGACATGCACTGTTTACTATGGGTCTAATGTTAGTGGATTCTATTCGTTCTTTGGGAACTAGTTGATAACTCGATGAAGGGACAAAGGTTTCCAAAAGGTCTTCAGCAACCCATGCTTGCCCTCAAAGGCGACTATGCTTGTCGTAATAGGCAACAAACAGGATCAGGTGGTCAGGCTCGCTGACTTGCTGGATGCATGTCATCGTATCCCAATTGCGTAGAACGATGCTCATGATATCAATCACAGGATTGTGTGGTCCAGACTCGATTATTTACAGACCGCCGTCTCATAGTTGTAATATTGCTGAGTGCGGCGTTAAACAAACAAACAAACAAACAAACAAACACTGATTAGTGTGGGAGCAATCTGCGTAATATTGGTGCAAATGAAGGTTTTCCACAGACGCGTGCATTATTATTCAGGGAATCGAGCATCCTCTTACCTCTGATATGCCTGACAATCGTGTTACCTTTCCCTTCCCCTTGTAAGTTTTATCTTGAGTTAGTGAGTGAGTTTGGTTTTACGCCGCTTTTAGCAATATTCCAGCAATATCACGGCGGGGGACACCGTTAAACGGCTTCACACATTGTACCCATGTCGGGATTCGAACCCGGGTCTTCGGCGTGACGAGCGAACGCTAACTTTTATCTTGATTAATTACAGGTATGTGCTGGACACGTGTATCTTGGAGGTATTTTTCTGTAGCTGAGACATCAGATGCTTATTTTATTGTTGAACTCACCTCCTCTGTCTCTCACCAATTGTATATTTTTCAAAATGTAGTTTTTTTTCTTATCACAAAATTAGTGAAATTTAAATATTGTTTTACATTTGTATACTTATCCTGCATAACCTTTCATTAGCAACGATTTACTAGCTTGCCTAAGACTTTGTTAGATAAATAAGCCATACATTTGTAAGAGGCGAATTCTGAGACTGAGACTGTATCGACGATATGGATATACAGGTACTTAGTTGTTTTTAGAACGAACGCAGAACGAGTGTTTTTTCCGTTAACAGTTGAACGGCAGTCATTCTCTAATGAATCAAATCTGATCATCAGTCTGTAAAAGTAATATACATGTGCTTTGCAGTTTACAAATTTCAAAGGCGGTATTAGCTCATATTGAAGACGAAGAATGAGTTGCATCATTTATTCTGTAGTCAGTAATAAAATAAACAAATACAATTGATAATCGAAATAAAGTCGAGCGGCGGTTCCAACTCTACCGCTCCAGCAAGCAGGCGTATCCTATTCGCGGCTGTGCATACAGGTGTAGTCGGAATATCAGACTAACAGTTGTTGTTGTTGCTTTAAGTGTTTAAGAGGTCACCTTCTGCCTAAGCTATTTCGGCAGACCTGTCCCTCTTTGGGACTCCTGTGTGTGAGTAGGGTACACATATCTATTGCGAGTTTCTATTTTCATATATATATATATAATTTCAGTTTTATCTTTGGCTGCTCCGTTTATATAAATTACGTTCGAGTAGCTGTCCATCTCTCAGTAATAGAGTTAGTTTGGCCTTCGCTATTGCATCTCTTGGCTTCAGGATATCTATGACAGATAACGGGTCTAACTGAAATACTTGATTTAACCTAGCCCGGGCTGGGGCATGAACTTGACATTCCAGTAACACGTGAGCAATGGATTCAGGTTGATTGCAAGATGGACAAACCTTGTCATGTGCTTTTTGTGACCGAGTCTGAGGCGTGAGATGGCAATTTCAGCTTTCCTTTCATTTGAGTATGAGTTTGGCTTTTGGTGGATCTTGGGCTGGATTTTGTAAAGCCATCTGCCGATCTTACTTGCGTCCCATTGGGCTTGCCATCTTTGTGCTATGGAGGCTTTGATTTTGCTTTTTATCTCTAGTTTACTAAAGGGCATAGGCTGTATCTCCGCTTTGTTTAGAGCTAGTTTCGCCAGTGTTTCTGCTTTTTCATTTCCATGAATATCTATGTGAGAGGGGATCCAACACAGCTTCACATGTTGCCCTTGGTCCGATAGTTTTGTATATTCGTATAGAATATTGTTGACTGTGTTTGGCCTGGAGTTTGAGTTTCTGCCGCTGATGACCTGAAGTGCACTTAGCGAGTCTGATAGGATGACTGCCTTTCCTTCCGGTAGTTCCGGTATGAGTGTGAGTGCATGATGAATTGCCTCCAATTCAGCCGTGAATACTGACTGGCCATCAGGCAGGCGAACCGAATGTGCTTGGGGTTTGGAGCTGTGGATATGGATCCCATAACCAGCACTGTTGTTGATAGGGTTCTTGGATCCATCAGTGTATATATGGACCCAGCTGTCCCAGGTAGTTTGAATTTTAGTGATAGTGACTGATCGTAGTAGGATTGGGTTTTCTTTTTTTAAGTGATTTCTGATGTTAGTGAGTGAGTGAGTGAGTTGGGTTCAACGCCGCTTTTAACAGTATTCCAGTTATATCGCTGCGTTTCAGCTTAATGTGGGAGGAACGCCCGAAGTGATGCAGGTCTCAGACGTTTACCACTTCGGTGAAACCCACGAGCACGGGTATGGTGCTGACAAACCTAGAAACATAATCGGGGCGAACCGGGATTCGAACCCACAATCATAGGTTTCTGGCGTGCCCAAGGGACGCAACTCTGCACAGCGAATCGCGGCGCCTTAGACGACTGGGCCACCCGTGCCCCCTTTCTGATGTTAAAACAGTGTCAACTTTGGGAGTTCTTAAAGTCCAGGGACGGTGTAACCCTTTGTAGTGACTTTCTGAAAGGCTGAATGCCATCACAATTGTGACTTCGGATGAGTTCACGTACTTACGTCCCAGATGGTTTTAGTGAGAGATTTTTTTTCGAGCTAGGACTTCATCACGAGTGTTTTTGTCTTGCCATATCTTTTTAACCAAAGGGTTTGATGTTCGTCCCCAGAACGATAATATTACCTGCTCTCTTCTTAGTTTCAATGGGGGTTCTCCCGTTTCTACCGGTAGTGCTTCTAGTGAAGTGCATGTTGCTGCGCCTATGACCAGCATTAGGGCTTTGTATTGTATTCTGTCGAGGCGGTTCAAGACAGCATTTGATGCTGAGTGAAAGGCCTCACAACCATAGTCCATTTTTGATCTAATAAGTGATTTGTAGAGGTCCATGTGAGTGTCCCTCGATGTGCCCCAAAATGTGCCTGAAATTGCCCGTACTACGTTCAGGTCTTTTTGACATCTGTTTTCCACATATTCTATATGTTTGCGCCAAGTGAGGTGTTGATCAAGGATCGCCCCAATAAATATAGCGGATTTTTCGAATTTGATTGGTTTGCCTTTTATGGAGACACGGGGTATCATGGCAACTTTTCTCAGGCGTTTGAATAGAACTCCAACAGTTTTTTTTTCACTTGAAAGGATGAAACCCAATTTATTGGACCATTTATCTACTCCGTCCAGGGCTGACTGGAGTTTTTTTCTGATTTGTGAAATATCTCTGTGTTTTACTCATATTGCTCCGTCATCAGCGAATTTGGAAGTTTGGGTAGGAGAGGTGACATGTTAAAAAAGATCACTGATCATGATGTTAAACACAAACACCTGGGGCTAATTTTACAGCAAGATGGCTACTGGTCAAATCATATAGAAAATATAGTAGATAAAGTAAGCCCAATGATTAACTGCTTTAGAACTTTCAAATACCGCCTGTCCAGAAAAACGTTACAGAATATATATATATCATCTATTTTACCAATATTCAACTATTGTGACCAAGTATGGGATAACTGTTCTCAAGAACAAGAGTTGGTATTGGAAAGGCTACATTGAGACGCACTGAGACCAATATGTGGAGCTACTCGTGGTACCATCCACGAGTCTCTATACTCTGAAACTAACCTTACACCCTTATCCAAAAGACGGCAATCACATAAATAAAAAATATTTTACAAAATGGTTAACAAGTTGGCCCCTGAATATCTATGTAATCTTGTTCCTCCTAATGTTTCAGCGGGCTCACGTTACAATTTAAGAACTTCTTCACAGCTACAGACTGTAAATGCTAGAACAGTTAACTACCACAAATCATTTTTACCCGACACAGTGCGAATGTGGAATGAATTACTGGATAATGTTCAGTCAAAATATACTGTAAATGACTTCACTAAATGTATCACCAAGACAGAAAATCCTAAAATATTTAGCTTTAACTTAGACTATGGTACCCGTTTCTGTGATCTAAATGCACACAAATATCATAGACATATTCATGATTCTACCACCTGCTCCTGTGGATATCATAATGAGGACCCTACACATTACTTCTTTTCATGTCGCAACGACTGTAATCTTCAGATAATGAACAATATGTACCACTATATAAAGGGATATGACTTGGATTCAGTATTATATGGAAATGCTACACCATCTACTGATACTAACCTTACTATTGTACAATCTGTCAATTTGTTCATTGCAAAATCAAAAAGATTTACAATCTAAATATGTCTTCATAACGATTACATAACGATTACATCGGTCAAATAGTTGTTTGTATGTGCTGGTATGCTGTTTGTTTATGTACCGATATATGTATTTGTGTATTTATGTGTGACTTGTATATCATCATAATATTTGCAACAGTAGGCACAATCAGTCTAAATTTATTATTTTATGTACAGTTTACTCTTATTAATTGTTAGGTGTTCTTTGTAGGGAGAGGTGTTTAAATCGGTTAGACCTGTCCACCAATCCAATTCCTTTTTCTTGGAAATAAATATTGTTATTCCCTTCTACTCCATTTTGTGCTAGTTTTGTGAGGAGTCCGTAATACCATACCATGTCGAAGGCTTTGCTGAAGCCCAGAAATACTGCGGCAAGGTATTGTCTGTTTAATTGAATTTTTTTTAAATTTCATTTTCCAGTCTTAGAATATGATCTAGACACGAGTGTCCCTTCCTGAAGCCACTTTGGTCAGTTTGATGTGGTTGCCAGTTTCAAGGTGATGCATGAGTCTTTTCGTAACGATGGCGTCCATAACTTTGCACATGTTTGAGGTGAGTGAGATCGGTCGTTAAGAGTTTGGTAGTGCTTCGTCTTTCCCTTGGTTTAGAAGCGGGATAACTGCAGCATGTCTAGCTTTTGGTTTGTTCAGGTAGGTTTTTCAATATCTCGTAACTGGTTGTGTCAAGACCAGGTACTGTGCCTTTTCGATGATGTATCGCATCATCAAACTCTGTCACAGGAAATGCATGGTATATTGTATACCAGATGCTTGCTTTGCGGCTGTTTTGATATCCTAAGCATAAACATTTTTACCTATTTGAATTCTTTGCTGCTATTTGTGTTGCTGCTGACAGATGAGAAGTGCTCGGCCAGAATGTTGGCCTTTTCTTTGACTCTATGGGCGTTGGCTAACTTGGGAATTTTTGTGGGTTTACGCTTACCCCTGATTGCGTGTATTTTGCTCCAGACTGTTTTAGCATTTGTGTTCTCATTGAGGGATTTGCAGAAGGTCTGCCATGAGTCTTTTTTAGAATCGTCTATGAGTTGTCTTACTTTTGTCCTGGCTGCTCTGACTTGGGCTTCCTTTCTCACTCTCCCAGCTTTTGCTATTTCCCTGTTCCAACATGGTACCGGAGTTTTGCCAGTTTTGTGGTCTTTTTGGGGGAATTTTTTTTTCAGCTGCGGCAATAATTGCTGAGGTGAGATTTTGGCACAAAGGATCAGGATTATCTGAGGCAATTTCTGAGGCAATTTTTATTCGAATGATATACATTCCTTCCTGAATTTAGGCCAACCAGCCTTTGCATAGTCCCATGTGGGCTGAGGATTGGGCTGTTCCTCTAATTGTGGTGGGCTACCTACGTAGGTGAGTATAGGAAGGTGATCGCTTCCCCAAGTGTCACCATGGACTTGCCATTGGCAATGTGTGGCGAGGTTGTTGGTGGCAATTGTGAGATCAATTGAACTCCACGTGGTGTGGACTTGGTCATAACGTGTGTGACTGCCGTTGTTCAGAGTTATGAGATTGTCGTCCTCAACCCATTTCTCTTTTCCCAAAGAGGGCTGAGGCATTTTGGTCTACTATTTGAGCTGGTCTTGTCAGCTCTTCCATGTTCGTTTCATGGGTAACCCTATGGTATGTTCGCATTAACGAAACTCCGCATTTATGTCACCAAAACGACTATCAACAATAAGAAGGCCTCACTACACACTTTGGACAGCGGAAATACCAACTTGAATATAAACACTAACACGGTTTTTTGAGCAGCAGTTGTAACAAGTGTATAACTTTGTCATTTAAAGAATAGGAATTACACAACAGGCATCCGGTGAGTTATCACAGCTGGGGTCAAGAGTTCTACCCACTCGTGTCAAACTAGGCATCATTGACAACTCCAATAAATGAACTGTTATTTTATTGCCTTTGAACTTCCTTCATGCCTATCAACATAATAAACATATAAATTGTGTGTTGTTGGGAAATCTCTGTTCGTTGTCATTACGGAGTTGCTTTACTCAGTGCTAATAGCGGCGCTATTTGATTGGCTTAAGGTAAGGATGTGTATCATTCCATTGTACAGTATTTGCTTCAGGGGCAGACTCGGACCCCTCTTGCGATTGTGGTACCGCCCATGGCGTTTATCTAGTAGCGCTAGCATCGCTAAGTGGGACGAGGCCAAGCTTCTATTTTCTCCCTGTATAGTTACACCGTAGATCTGTTGAAGAACACCGCTACCTGTCAAACGCTTCCCCAGCGAGGTGGCAACTCTGAGAACAGATAAAAGTCTGGGAAGACGTCCCGCCAAGACAAGCTGCCACTACCAAGGGGACCCCGACAGAATACAGCCGGCTCGTTCCCATTCAGTTGCTTCGAGATCTCACCGGTAGCAAAGGTTGGCAAACCCCAGGAACAGTACTGGTAATTATGCTGAATGCTTTGTGTATCTTTCTTAAGGCGCCATTTTTACACACCGTGCATGTTTATGGTCATGAACATGACGAAAATTATATAGAGATAAAAAACGAAACTTGTGAACATTGTGTCAAGGTCATGCGACCTTTCGTACTGTATGTATACTGGCACGTATAAAAACGCATATTCGATTGATTTTTTTACAAAATGTGTGATATATTTTGTGATTTTTGGCAAAATGGACACAGAATCAGTTAAGTTGTTCTGTGTATTTAGGCCTGAGATAATCAAACACAACAATGTCGTCGTACATTCGGGTTCGAATCTCTTTAGATTTGTTTCGAGATGAAATTGAGCCCCCAAACGCATCTTTTCTGATTTCTAAATATAGCTGATTATGCGTTTTAAAGTGTTTTAGTATATATTGTTTCTGAAAAAATAAAGGGTATGGTTCATTGGTAAGTGAGTCGTATTAGGTTAAAAAAATTATTATACATGTTTTGTGATCGTCTATTCTGGTCGTCAACCGGATGTCGTCATACTATTGGCATGACGTCAATACTGAATATCTATCTATTTTCATTTTGTATGTTGTGCTGTGAACTTGGTTGAACAACATTCAGTGTCGATATAGACCGATGGCGACTGTCTGTAGTGCCATGTATAGAGTACTTGTTGGGGGTTGAGTTCCGTCCGGGATTCGAACCCGCACTTGCCAGAGTGAGGCACCTAATCGCCAGTACACAAAGTCAGCGATCTAACCCACTCAGCCACCGAGGCTTCCACCAAAATGAAAGTCTGACAACTGGTAGTCTAGGTCATGCACTTTGTGTACCCTTCTGACAAGTGTAAATTGGCGAATAGTGTGCATCACAGGAAACATGCTTACCCCTTTACTAGGCATGGACTTTTTCTGTTTGGAAGTTTATGCATATTGTGTTTACAGAAACAAATAACAAATACGTAATGTATATAATGACCTACTCCGTGCCTGTTATCTATTTGAAAAGTTAGATGATTTACTTTTCGCGCGCAGCAAATGAGTTGAACATGCGGCATTGAGGTAACTTCTCCTTATGAAGCAATGTGAAAGAGAGTTGCCTGGTATTACCATGACTAACGCTTAGTCAATGAAGACATGTCTTTATACTATATTTTTCTTTGAAAGAGCATTTCCTCTTCGGCTGTTTTCATATGTGACTTGGTTAGATTGAACTAGACTTGCCTATTCTTTAGTAAAGAAAAATACCTAAAAAAGTATAAATTCCACTGACGCGATGCAGGACTAGGCATTGTTAACAGCACAGAGGAGCAGGTTGTCTGGTATCATGCTGAACTTATTACCTTTGATCACCGGTCAGTGATGGGACAGTAGTTCCGTTGAAAGATATGTTAGGGAGTCGGACAGGTTGTTTATCAGGGAGAGCATGCGGTCGACTGGCCTGGCCCGGTACATGTTCCAACTAGAGATGAGGGAGTGTATGTGGCGTGGTACATGGTCCACGGGAGAGCATGTTGTCGACTGGCCTTGCCTGGTACATGGTCCAGCTTAAGACGAGGGAGTGTATGTGGCGTGGTACATGGTCCAGCTTGAGATGAGGGAGTGTATATGTGGCGTGGTACATGGTCCAGCTAGAGATGAGGGAGTGTATGTGGCGTGGTACATGGTCCAGCTAGAGATGAGGGAGTGTATGTGGCGTGGTACATGGTCCAGCTAGAGATGAGGGAGTGTATGTGGCGTGGTACATGGTCCAGCTAGAGATGAGGGAGTGTATGTGGCGTGGTACATGGTCCAGCTAGAGATGAGGGAGTGTATGTGGCGTGGTACATGGTCCAGCTAGAGATGAGGGAGTGTATGTGGCGTGGTACATGGTCCAGCTTAAGACGAGGGAGTGTATGTGGCGTGGTACATGGTCCAGCTTGAGATGAGGGAGTGTATATGTGGCGTGGTACATGGTCCAGCTAGAGATGAGGGAGTGTATGTGGCGTGGTACATGGTCCAGCTAGAGATGAGGGAGTGTATGTGGCGTGGTACATGGTCCAGCTAGAGATGAGGGAGTGTATGTGGCGTGGTACATGGTCCAGCTAGAGATGAGGGAGTGTATGTGGCGTGGTACATGGTCCAGCTAGAGATGAGGGAGTGTATGTGGCGTGGTACATGGTCCAGCTAGAGATGAGGGAGTGTATGTGGCGTGGTACATGGTCCAGCTTAAGACGAGGGAGTGTATGTGGCGTGGTACATGGTCCAGCTTGAGATGAGGGAGTGTATATGTGGCGTGGTACATGGTCCAGCTAGAGATGAGGGAGTGTATGTGGCGTGGTACATGGTCCACTGGAGAGCATGTGACCGACTGGCCTGGCCTGGTACATGGTCCAGCTAGAGATGAGGGAGTGTATGTGGCGTGGTACATGGTCCAGCTAGAGATGAGGGAGTGTATGTGGCGTGGTACATGGTCCAGCTAGAGATGAGGGAGTGTATGTGGCGTGGTACATGGTCCAGCTTAAGACGAGGGAGTGTATGTGGCGTGGTACATGGTCCAGCTTGAGATGAGGGAGTGTATATGTGGCGTGGTACATGGTCCAGCTAGAGATGAGGGAGTGTATGTGGCGTGGTACATGGTCCAGCTAGAGATGAGGGAGTGTATGTGGCGTGGTACATGGTCCAGCTAGAGATGAGGGAGTGTATGTGGCGTGGTACATGGTCCAGCTAGAGATGAGGGAGTGTATGTGGCGTGGTACATGGTCCAGCTAGAGATGAGGGAGTGTATGTGGCGTGGTACATGGTCCACTGGAGAGCATGTGACCGACTGGCCTGGCCTGGTACATGGTCCAACTAGAGATGAGGGAGTGTATGTGGCGTGGTACATGGTCCAGCTAGAGATGAGGGAGTGTATGTGGCGTGGTACATGGTCCAGCTAGAGATGAGGGAGTGTATGTGGCGTGGTACATGGTCCAGCTTAAGACGAGGGAGTGTATGTGGCGTGGTACATGGTCCAGCTTGAGATGAGGGAGTGTATATGTGGCGTGGTACATGGTCCAGCTAGAGATGAGGGAGTGTATGTGGCGTGGTACATGGTCCAGCTAGAGATGAGGGAGTGTATGTGGCGTGGTACATGGTCCAGCTAGAGATGAGGGAGTGTATGTGGCGTGGTACATGGTCCAGCTAGAGATGAGGGAGTGTATGTGGCGTGGTACATGGTCCAGCTAGAGATGAGGGAGTGTATGTGGCGTGGTACATGGTCCAGCTAGAGATGAGGGAGTGTATGTGGCGTGGTACATGGTCCAGCTTAAGACGAGGGAGTGTATGTGGCGTGGTACATGGTCCAGCTTGAGATGAGGGAGTGTATATGTGGCGTGGTACATGGTCCAGCTAGAGATGAGGGAGTGTATGTGGCGTGGTACATGGTCCAGCTAGAGATGAGGGAGTGTATGTGGCGTGGTACATGGTCCAGCTAGAGATGAGGGAGTGTATGTGGCGTGGTACATGGTCCAGCTTAAGACGAGGGAGTGTATGTGGCGTGGTACATGGTCCAGCTTGAGATGAGGGAGTGTATATGTGGCGTGGTACATGGTCCAGCTAGAGATGAGGGAGTGTATGTGGCGTGGTACATGGTCCAGCTAGAGATGAGGGAGTGTATGTGGCGTGGTACATGGTCCACTGGAGAGCATGTGACCGACTGGCCTGGCCTGGTACATGGTCCAACTAGAGATGAGGGAGTGTATGTGGCGTGGTACATGGTCCAGCTTGAGACGAGGGAGTGTATGTGGCGTGGTACATGGTCCAACTAGAGATGAGGGAGTGTATGTGGCGTGGTACATGGTCCACGGGAGAGCATGCGGTCGACTGGCCTGGCCTGGCACATGGTCCAGCTAGAGATGAGGGAGTGTATGTGGCGTGGTACATGGTCCACGGGAGAGCATGCGGTCGACTGGCCTGGCCTGGCACATGGTCCAACTAGAGATGAGGGAGTGTATGTGGCGTGGTACATGATCCACGGGAGAGCATGCAGTCGACTGGCCTGGCCTGGCCTGGCCTGGCCTGGCCTGGTACATGGTCCAGCTTGAGATAAGGGAGCGTATGTGGCGTGGTACATGGTCCACGGGAGAGCATGTAGCCGACTGGCCTGGCCTGGTACATGGTCCAGCTAGAGATGAGGGCCATGCGGCGTGGTACATGGTCCAACTAGAGATGAGGGAGTGTATGTGGCGTGGTACATGATCCACGGGAGAGCATGTGGCCGACAGGCCTGGCCTTGTACATGGTCCAGCTAGAGATGAGGGAGTGTATGTGGCGTGGTACATGGTCCACGGGAGAGCATGCGGTCGACTGGCCTGGCCTGGTACATGGTCCAGCTTGTGATGAGGGAGTGTATGTGGCGTGGTACATGGTCCACGGGAGAGCATGCGGTCGACTGGCCTGGCCTTGTACATGGTCCAGCTAGAGATGAGGGAGTGTATGTGGCGTGGTACATGGTCCACGGGAGAGCATGCGGTCGACTGGCCTGGCCTGGTACATGGTCCAGCTAGAGATGAGGGAGTGTATGTGGCGTGGTACATGGTCCACGGGAGAGCATGCGGTCGACTGGCCTGGCCTGGTACATGGTCCAACTAGAGATGAGGGAATGTATGTGGCGTGGTACATGGTCCACGGGAGAGCATGTAGCCGACTGGCCTGGCCTGGTACATGGTCCAGCTAGAGATGAGGGCCATGCGGCGTGGTACATGGTCCAATCATATATAAATAAAAAGGAATTCAACTTCTCTAAGATTCTTTCAAACATACCCTTAAATAAAATAGACCATCTATACAATTCACATCAAGTCTGCAATAATATGGTAAGTCTACATTTCTTCGTTAGATAAGATTCTCGGGGCTCCTTTAAATTATTTATACTGTCTACAGACTTTCATACATACAATATTTGACTTGTCTACTTCTCATTTCAGAAACAAAATGTACGCCTCTCATTTATACCGTTTATAAGGCGTCTGTAGAAGGCTTCGAAAACGTAGAGCGACATACACTAACTATTTATGTATTCGTAGACAGTCCCATGTCGCAAGGGAAGAAAAGGTCACTACAGTCATACAATTTAGCTTCAGGAAGTGTATCAAAACATTCAAGGCTACCGTGAATGCACAATCCTACTCCCATCACAATTGCGTGGGTCGATGCTCATGAGGTCTCTCATTTATACTGTTTATAACGCGCCTGTAGAAGGCTTCGAAAACGTAGAGCGACATACACTAACTATTTATGTATTCGTAGACAGTCCCATGTCGCAAGGGAAGAAAAGGTCACTACAGTCATACAATTTAGCTTCAGGAAGTGTATCAAAACATTTAAGGCTACCGTGAATGCACAATCCTACTCCCATCACAATTGCGTGGATCGATGCTCATGATGTCAATCACTGGATTGTCTGGTCCAGACTCGATTATTTACAGACCGTCGTCATATAGCTGGAATATTGCTAAGTGCGGCGTTAAACAACAAATAAGCAAACAAACAAACAAACAAACAACATAAAATCCCGCAGCTAAAATCACATCCGGATTTATCAAAATACCCATGCCTCCTTTCTTGAAATCTTATCAGCGACCATTCCGCGTATCCAATCTGATAATACCCCCCTCCCTCCCACTTCCCTCGACATGACCCTTAACCCCAAGCTCGATTAATACGCAGCCGAAAACCTATCTAACGATGCACATGTCCGTTTAATTGTTGATACAAGGCAAACCAGATCTTCGCGAATTGTCATTGAAGAATTGATAGATAAACTGAATTACTGGATACACTTCTAAACTCACAATTCTGTGTTTACATGTTCATACTGATTTATAAAAGACTGTTTATTTAAATGAAAGTTCTTCTGTTGTTGCAGGCACGTGTCGGTATTAACATGAACGTCTTCTGTATACTTGTAAGCACGTGCCTGTGCCTCGGTCTGGCTGAAGATGAGATCATTGACCTCACTCACACGTTCGGGAAAAGGACGATCTACTGGCCGGGAAATCCCCCGTTTAACTTTTCCAACGTCTTCCGACTACCAGGGAGTCCTGGATATGTGTAAGTTGTGTGTTAGTGAGTGAGTTCAACACCGCCTTCAACAGAAGGTCAGTCACATCACGGCGTATCAGTTCTAAATGTGTCGCTGCCTTATCGGAATGTACAATGGACAATGGATTGCTGAAAAGGGTTTTGTCGCTTGTATTGAAGAGTGAGTGAATGAGTGAGTTGGGTTTAACACCGCTTTTAACAGTATTCCAGTTATATCACAGCGTGTCATCTTAATGTGGGAGGAAAGCCCGAAGTGATGCAGGTCTCAGACGTTTACCACTTTGGTGAAACCCACGAGCACGGGTATGGTGCTGACAAACCTAGAAACATAATCGGGGCGAACCGGGATTCGATCCGATTATTGAAGAAGAGGCTCAACCAAAATTCTGTCTCTGTCAGTACTGTACCTACATTTTATGAATCCTTTGGGTTATTTTGCAATATTTTTTACTGTGAAGTTTACACGGTATACGGTTTTTCCATTGGACGAGAGGGCGGCCACCTGGCCGCGAAATTGACGTTCATAAGTGCATGAACGACACAATTTAACTTTCATACGTTCTTTATGAGACCATATTCTTGAAATGATGTAATAACCGACGGACTGCTTTCACATTATACCATATGGTATTATACCATATATGGTCTCTGACTTGATGTACATCTATTACAACGCACTGTCATTCTGACTGAATACTGAGGTCGTTCTTAACACACCTTTCTAATCAAATGATATCATTTGTTGTAAACAAACCACAACAGATGTTGCTGTGGAGCATACCTACTCTCAAGTCACGTCTCTTTTTGAGGAACTATTTTCTTCCTCGACACAGCTGGTTTTCGAATGGCTGTCAGTGTAAACATGAAGTCACATGCACGCTCCGACGTTCACAGTTTGACCTTTACTCTGTAAAGGTTCACACTCCAATGAACTCACACAAAGCGAAAGTCAATTCTTTATTTATTAATATGCATCAACCAAGTCAGCGAGCCTGACCACCCGATCCCGTTAGTCGCCTCTTACGACAAGCAAAGTCGCCTTTTACGGCAAGCATAGGTTGCTGAAGACCTATTCTACCCCGGATCTTCACGGGTCCTGTGCCATAGTAAGATGATCTTGTTATCAACCTCTGGTGTGCCTAACCAAGGCTCGACTATTTGAAAGCCGCCGTGATATTGCTGACAGCGGCGTAAAACAATATTATTTGTTTTAAGAATGCAAAAAGGAAGTGAAACAAAACGTTACGTGAAACAAAACTAATTGCTGTGGCTTTAATTATGTTTTTGTGTTATGCAGAGCGGAAGCCAATGCGTTCCAGACAGCCGAGCACAGCGGGACTCACATGGATGCCCCCAGACACTTTTGTCCCAAGGGGAAGCGTGTGGAGGAAGTTGTCATGGATCGGTTGTCAGGACCTGGGGTCGTCATCGATGTCAGAAAAGAATCAGAATCCAACCCTGATTTCCAGGTCAGCGAGCAGACTTTCACAGACTGGGAGGCGATGCATGGCACCATTCCAGACGGAGCGATCGTACTTTTCAACTTTGGCTGGGACAAGTTTTGGCCTGAAAGAAAGCGTGTCTTCAACTCCGATGATGTCATGAATCCATCAAGTTTCCACTTTCCAGGGTTGAGTCCCGATGGATCAAAATGGTTGACGAATAACCGCCGAGTGCACGCGGTGGGGGGCGATACTCCATCTCTCGACCCTGGTCAGTCAACTTTATACGAGGTACACGTGATGTTGCTGTGCGATAATGAGATTATAATTCTGGAGAATGTAGCTAATCTAAACAGTATGCCAGCGACTGGAACTAAGGTATACATTGGCGCCCTGAAGCTTGAACATGGGAGTGGAACACCTGTCAGGCTGTTCGCTGTTCCTTTGTCTAGTGCCGCCGTGTCTAGGTGTCCTATGTGGCTGTTCACGTTGAGTATGTTGTTACTAGCATTGCTTTAATCAACCGGTGTTCCGGTGTTCTTTGTGGATGTTCACGTTAATAGCAATGCTTTAATCAACCGCCATACATTGACTTAACACCGTTCGCTCTTCCATGGAAGCTAGATGTAGTAAGGTGTCCATGGCCGTTCGCATGGTGTATATTGCTTGAATGAACTCCATACTTAAAGCCGTTACTTTGTCTAACATCTGCATCTGATTCATGTAAACAAAATAGCTTAGTGATGGTCTTGGGTTTCTGGGCAACAGCTACTCCGGACTATAGTACAGTGCAAAAGCATCAACGCTGCTCAATAAAACTAGCACTGCCCACATGTATGCAAATAAACCATACAAACATGCACAAGACTTTGTTCTGAACTTTCCAAGAAACCTTTGATCGCCGTGAATCTGCTTGCTGCCATTACTCAACCTTTCTTCAAGGTGAGGTGAAATGGGGTTTAACGTCGCGTCCAAGATTATTACACTTATATAGCGACGTGCATGTACGTGTATAAGTGTGTGTGGCTGCTTGTACTAGTCCGGGCTGATGCCGATGTATAGTGCTAGCCCACTGAGATACCATGCCACTCAGACACAGTATACTGACTCCGAGCCGACCAGTCCTTGTTTTAGCCCCTTAAGGCCGAGCGCCAGGCAGGCTAACAACAAGTACCATCTTTTAACGTCCTTGGGTATGACGCGGCCGGGGATCGACCCGCGGACCTTCCGCTCTACCATTAGACCACGGAGGCGGTCCATCCTTTGTTCAAAATAAATGAATGAGTCTACATGTAGTTAGAAGTGGGGAAAAAACACATCATTTCCGTTTGTCCTTTATGGAAATTTGACCTTGGTTTGATATTTGCGGATTCTCCCCAAATGGATTTTAATCTGGAAACACTGGAACGAAATGTGGCAGACAGTATGTCCAATATGGCAGACACAACAACAGTATTGAGATATATTGATAACCGTTATTCGGTCATTTTGTTTATAAAACTAACGTTATTGGTCAATGTGTAGTTTGTACCTTTTTCTCAATATGTTTTCTTTCCAAACCTTTGCGTTTTGGCCATGCCCTAGAAGCATTTTGGCTGTGAACAGCTTTGAGTGAGTGAGTTGGGTTTAACGACGCTTTTAACAGTATTCCAGTTATATCACGTGTCTGCTTAATGTGGGAGGAAAGCCCGAAGTGATGCAGGTTACCGACGTTTACCACTTTGGTGAAACCCACGAGCACGGGTATGGCGCTGACAAACCTAGAAACATAATCGGGGCGTAACGGGATTCGAACCAACAATCATAGGTTTCTGGCGTGCCCAAGTGACGCAACTCTTCACAGCGAATCGCCGCGCCTTAGACGACTGGGCCACCCGTGCCTCCTGAACAACTTTGAAGCTGTTTCTTAACTGATGACATCACATATTGCCATTTTGTTTGTTGTTAGTTTAAGTTAATATAAAATAAACTTCCACGCAAAAAAGTTCAAGAACAACTAGGCGTAGAGAAAAGTGAACCAATGTGTACACGAAAATGGGTGGAATAAATTTCTAGTCATGATGAAATACATTTAACTTCGTTTGACGCAGACAATGTTTTGTTTGTTTGTTGTTTAACGCCGCACTCAGCAATATTCCAGCTATATGACGGCGGTCTGTAAATAATCCAATCTGGACCAGACTGTCCAGTGAATGCCATCATGATCATCGATCTACGCGATTGGGATACTATGACGTGCATCAATCAAGTCATGAGCCTGACCAGCAGATCCCTTGTTTGCCTTTTCCACAAGCATGGTCTGCTGATGACGTATTCTAACCAGGATCTTCACGGGTCCGCAGACAATTTAGCAAAACCAAGTTTGTATTTTACTCAGAATAGGTATAACAATATTCAATGTCTATTTCCATAATGAGGTTGAAATGTTATGAAATCTACAAAATATATAATTTACTTGATGAAATGTTTTTGTTACAGCTTCGGAAACAATATTGCAATGTAGTTTCATATTTATCAGTTTTTATCAGTACTTAAAATATGTGTTTGAATATGAGTACTTACAGAAACTCTTTTAAATGGCTGTCTTTTTTTATGTACTGCATATCCTGGTGAGCTACAGTGCCTTGATGTTGGACAGCTGAACACAAAATGGTTTCTGTACAGGTATCATATGACATGATAAATATTTATTCCAATCCTAACGTATCAATTTTAAGCTAAAACCACACAGATAAAACAACACAATTGGCCTTAAAAGTTACAACTAATATTCTGAATAGAAGATTGAAGATTGTCGCTTAATACGGCCCCGAGGGTTAATATTTAGGATAATGAGATTTCCTTATATAATGGTTGACACGATATAACATTGGGGATGTTGGCCACGGGTTTTATGACATAGCGATGGAGATACAAGGTGACATGTCACGGACTTTTGTGGACACATGGACCATTACCGGCATGCTAGGCGACTAACGGGATCAGGTGGTCAGGCTCGCTGACTTGGTTGATGGATGTCATCGTATCCCAATTGCGTGGATTGATGCTCATGATGTCAATCACTGGATTGTCTGGTCCAAATTCGATTATTTACAGACCGCCGTCATATAGCAGGAATATTGCTGAGTGCTGCGTTAAACAACAAACAAACAAACAAATATCGTGTTTCAAAACCTTTGAAATTTTTTAATATCTTTATCCTGCTTTATTTGGTCACAAGTATCATTTTTCAAGTGAAAGACATCAGTAACTAAACATAACGGAGCGCAAGCTTTTGGAAAACAGTAAAACTTTATTTACCGTTATACTGATGGCACAGAGAGTTTCCTTGCCTCAAATGTGGTACTTAATGTTAACTCTCGCAAAGGTAATCAGAGCATGGGCTTTGAACTAACGAGTGAGTGAGAATGGTTTTACGCCGCTTTTAGCAATATTCCAGCAATATCCGACCGCCCCCTTGAACTACCGAAACAATTTCTAACCCAATCTTTTGATGTGAACCTCCTGCATGGCGGAGGTCCATCTTTTTCTCTGTTCACGAAATACCATGCAAAATACACAAATATGGACACATTATAGGTCAGACTTAGTGTGTTACAAATCAGTATATGATATTTACTAATATATATAAAAAAAGGATATAATACATCATGAAATGATAATTGTTTTATCCACATCTTCACTGTGAATGTAATCAGGCTTCTTTGATATACCTGCACTCCATACGACTAGAACATGTTCATGTAACACACTACTTACTCAAAGGCAACAGTAACTGTGATCACGTCCTTAATTATGATAATGTGATGTTTCTTTGAAATGTATTTGCTTTGAAGATTTAAAATACACTATTTTTTGGTCGAAAGACGGGACTTCTAATACAAATATTTGTATACATCTAAAAAAATAACAATATAAAAATTGTAAATTAAAATTCTAACGATATAACAATATTTCATTTATGTCGGAATGAGTGAGTGAGTATGGTTTTACGCCGCTTTTAGCAATATTCCAGCAATGTCACGGCGGGGGACACCAGAAATGGGTTTCACACATTGTACCCATGTCGGGAATCGAGCCCGGGTCTTCGGCGTGACGAGCGAACGCTTTAAGCCGGACTAGGCTACCCGTCCGCCCCGCTTAATGTCGGAGGAAAGCCCGACGTGATGCAGGTCTCAGACGATTATCACAATGGTGAAACACACGAGCATAGGTATGGTGCTGGCAAACCAGTTATCATGATCAGGGCGAATCCGGGAATCGAACCCACGATCTCTGCATCACCTACATAACTCACCTGTGCACTGGTATCATCCCTATTTGATAGTGATTTATTACACATATGCTTATGAGACAGTCGGAATCGTACAATGGACTTTTAGTGGAGATTTCTTATGATGATGGAAATGTTTGTGTCGTTTTCATATAGACGGCGTCACCTACACCACTGAAACAGCTGTACACAGTCCAAACAATTAATCGTCATCATTACATTTGAGGAGTGGTGTCTGAAATATTGAGGTATCCAGCGTTAGTGAAAGCGCTCGATGTCGATTCATCGTGGCTAGCTGGAATGTCGAGCTGAACAGGCTTGGAGTCGCAGCGGTTGTTGTAGTTGGCTCGATATTTGCTTTCATGGCGAGTCACGGCACGTCTAAACAGAAATACATGTACCCATCTTCATTTGTGGCTACTAAAACATTCACAGGCTTACTGAATGAATGATTTTACGCCGTCTTTAACATTACTCCAGCATAATCACGACGGGGGCAACAAGAATGGGCTTTACATATTGTACCCATCTGGCGAATGGAACCCGGATCTATGACGTCATAAAGGGACGCTTTAACTTTTGTTCTACACCACAGTACCTTATACTTGTAATTGATGTGGTCACGCGGTGTTGACAAAATTGTTCAGTCAAAATTTAACAAATTGAATGCATAAGAAACCAAACAAGCATAATTTAACAGTCAGGCGCCTTAATCCGAAGAATGAGTGAGTGAGTTGGGTTTAATGCCGCTTTTAACAGTATTCCAGTTATATCACGGCGTGTCAGCTTGATGCGGAAGGAGAGCCCGAAGTGATGAAGGTCTTTGACGTTTACCACTTTGGTGAAACCCAAGAGCACGGGTATGGTGACATACCTAGAGACATAATCTCATGATGTCAATCACTGGATTTTCTGGTCCAGAACTGTATTTACAGACCGCCGTCATATAGCTGGTATATTGCTGAGTGCGGCGTAAAACAACAAACAAACAAGCAAACAAGAAACATAATCAAGGGGAACAGGGATCCGAACCCACTATCATATGTTTCTGTCACTCTACCCTCCCCCCCCCCCCCCCCCCCCCCGCCCCGCCCCGCCCCATCCCAACTCCCCCACGTCATCCTAGGATGAACAAGATGATATATTACTTTGTATAAATAGACTGTACAGGGATAAAACAGGTCGAACAAAAATAGTTGGTAGCAAACGTAACCTGAAGCGTGAACCTTTAGCCTGAAAACTGTGGCTTTATAACGCGCACACCTCTTTTCTTTTGCCAATACAGTCTTACCTCCTCAAGACGAAACAGGTGATACGAACACATTGACACCAAGATGGTGCAGGTGTGGAATACGTACCTCCACAACAGCGTGAAAATAACTCCCATCAACAAGGCGATGCATATTCCGAGGATTATTGCGGCAATTGTGTCTGTGAATTAAAGTTAGCATCAAGTGAAAAAGCGTAAAATTCCAAATTCTTATTTGTGTGCAGTCGGAAAGGGAAATCTCCCATCCTCCCGTATCGTTTACACTCTACAGCTTTTATACAAATTGGTGTTTTATGCTTCTTGTTTTTTGTCGTTTTACGCCGCACTCAGCATTTTCCAGCTGTTGTGTATGACGACGGATTGTAATTAATCGAGACTTGACCAGACAATCAAGTAATTCTAAGCCAGGTTACCCCCGTCCAGCCCATCACTGAAGTGTGATCAAAGTTTTGGAGCTTATTAAAGCCACTAACACAATCATCACACACATTTTTACGTATCAAATAAATAATGTAATTATATAATATCTAATTATGATATAAAACTTCAGAATAATGACCACTTATCTCAATTTTCCACCGAAACAGATTCCATCGGATGTAAAAGGAAAGATAGTGGTGAATTATTACATTGCTTTTGCCAATAATGATAATCTTTTGTTTTCAAACTAATTTAGTGAGAAATATATCTGACCGAAACCCGTTTCATGAATACACATATATGCCAAATCAGTTAAACGTATTGATACATATACACATCAAACATCGTGTATATAGGCAACGGACGTTTAAAACACATGTATTTGAAATAAATACGTTGTTATACAAGTGTCTGCGATCGTGCGTGTCACTGAATCCACTCGTGAAGATCCGGGTTAGAATAGGTCTCCAGAAACCCATGCTTGCTGTAAATGGCAACTATGCATGTCGTAAGAGGCCTAGGCGATCAACGGGATCGGACGTCAGCCTCGCTGACGTAGATGATTCATGTCATCGTATTCCAATTGCATGGATCGATGCTCATGATGTCAATCACTGGATTGTCTGGTCCCGATTCGATTATTTACAGACCGACGTCATATACCTAATTGCGGCGTTAAACAACAAACAAACAAGTGTTGACTGAATCGTTAGTGCCACGTACCGACTCGGAGTGACCCCGGGACATACTGGTCATCCACCTCAGCAGGAGTATTTTCTGTCGAAATTCTTATTTGGTTGGGCACATCGGCTGAAAAACAAATTAAACTGAGATGGTCAGCTCTGAGATAGTGGCTGTGGAAGTTGAAGTGTTATCATTTAATAATGAAAGTCATTCGTCACCACTCGTCCCTTTCCGTAACCTGCAAGAAGACTCGGCTTGTCCCAGAATAACACGAGTTGGTCACGAAGGAATGAAAGTACGAAAGAACCTGTAATTTGAACAATATTTTAGTTTGGATATCAGAAGCTTATTTTTAAATATAGTTTTATTCTTAAATGCTTAGTATTATCAAAATAAGCATCTGGTGACATGGAGATAGAACATTTTTCCAAAAAACGAATAATCCTAATCTAACTTCCAGAAAGTACTATACACAAGTTTCAGTGATAGATGTGGATATGCAATGAAAAGTTTCATATAAAACACTGTTTTGCACACGGAGTTTCAAGGCACAACGATACACTACATAGTAAAACATCATAATTCAATACAGAACAATATTCATTAACAATTTGGAAGTATCTAAACCAAACTCATTTTTGCCCATGAAGCTGCAATGTGAAATGTTCTCTCGTGTAACTCCCTACAAATTCTAGGCATATTTTCAATGATTTCATCATTAGTCCACGAGTACATCGAAAGAAAGAAACGTCAAGATGCAAATAAGGATTTCAATTGGCGAAGACGCACGTGTATTACGTAAGACAAAAAACACACTCAACATTATCCCTGTATTTGGGGCCCAAACCCGCACATCACACGACATTTCTTACTTCACGCTACCAACTCGGCCACTGGGGAAATCTCGGATAAATCATTATTAGATTCCTGAAACGGCTCTTCCTCATCCTACACATTTGAATATATTAAAAAATATACGGAATTGACAGATTAAGCGTCGAGATTCACGTTATGACAAGAATAATTCGTGCTGCACGTGCGGAATTGAAATGACCCGTCCAGCTCGCGCAAACCAGTGTGAAACCGCTCGCACAAGTGCGTTCATTTAGAATGCTGTGTTTCAGGACAAACCCGTTGAGAAATTTCAAAATAAATAAATCAAATATCAGACATCAGTTCTTTTTATGTATCAATGTCCAATATAATAAAAACTCATATGCCTTTGCCAATAATGATCGTCTTTCGTTTCCTAATTGATGAAGTAAGTAAATAGAAGGGGCAGAAACACGGTTACTTTATAAGCACACATGCAAACATATCAACAAAACCTATAAATAAATATTAAATCATTTGATTTACTGCTTTGTTGCATTACGAGTTTTATCAAAGATGTTTAAGGACACTTAATTTTATATTAAAACATATTATAATACATGTAGTTGAAATAAATTCTTCGAGCTTTCGCGTTCACGTTGTGACAAGGGACGTAACTCCTGTTATCGCACATAGGGGAGCCATGGCCTCAACTGGTTAATTTTGAGTTCCTATATACAGTCCGTTTGATTCCAACTGAGACCGATGAATTGCTCACTAACTCAAAATCTAATAATTGCAACAAAACCAAAATGTGCCAAGCGACATGAATTGGACAGACCAACTCTGATGGTTTGTCTCATAATTTTGGACACTTGAATAAAAAAATTGTTTAACAAACGATCATCATATTGTTGACATTTTTCGCCATCCCATACAAGGGAGGACCAGTCGCTCATAGAACAGCCAGGTGGGCGAGTTTCATGTGCGAAAGTGACGTAAGGCTTGCTGAGCAAACCATAGATGCGTGATTGCTATACCTGAGACAATGAGAACATCACTCGACGCGAAGTCAATTATTTGCAACGTCTTCAATTTTTTTAAAAAAGAATGTGAAAGTGGTAGACCACAATATGCTTAAAAAAAGTATCGTTTACGAACTGCACGTGCAGTTTGGATAACAGAAGGGAAGTTAAAAACTATGTTAAAAAAGTGTACTGATTCAACCTGCAGTGACACACCTGAGGGGACCATCTCAAAACCCAAGCGATGTTTTAAAGTCGATTCATTTCCACAGGAGATGGTTAGAAACGCCATTAAGACTCTGTATAAACAAAATATCTATGTCTCTCTCCGAGACAAATCATTCTTTGACCATTTCAAAATATCAGTTATGGAAATTGCTACACCAATTTGGTTTCCGTTACAAAAAAGTAGGCTCCGAAAATAGACATGCATTATGCGAGAGGTCTGATATTGTTCGACTAAGGAACCATTTCTTACGCACAATACGAGAAAAACGTTACGAGGGTTATGAGCCCGTATACTTGGACGAAACGTGGGTAAACGCTTCCCATACCACAGGAACACAATGGTTCCCTAGCTCCTCTTCTGATTTCTGTGCCAGGAAATTGCCACTTGGCAAGGGTGAGCGGCTTATTGTGCTCCATGCTGGCTGCAAGAGTCAGGGATTCCTACCAGGCTGTTCGCTGGTCTTCAAGGCAAAATCCAAGGACAACCGAGACTATCATACCGAATTGAACGGAGCGGTATTCCTAGAATGGGTTAAAACTCAACTGGTACCGGTATTGCCCCCCCCCCCCCCCCCCCCCCCCCCCCAAGAGTCTGGTTGTCATGGACAATGCTCCATATCAGGGCGTTCAGGTACCTAACACAAAAGACCCAACGTCTAACAGTAGGAAGGGCGATATGATAGAATGGTTGACACACAAAGCAATACCGAATCCACAATAAGCAACGAAACCTGTTCTGTATGATATTATAAAGTCTAATAAAATACAACATTCAAACTTCGGGATGTACAGAAACTGGTTCAACAATCAATAGACACCATCACGCAGGAAACGTGGCAACATTGTGTTGAGAGTGAAATAGAGAGACATTATTGGGATCATAGTGGATTGGACCATGCCACAATCAAGCCAGTGATCATCAGGGTAGACTCGGACTCGAGGGGGGTGGGGGGGTTACACTTACGCCGAATACAGTCATGACCCAGCCAGCCGTCTTCGCAACCGTCTGCACATGCGCCAGAGGCGGGGTGACACTTGGATCCTTTGGCGCAGTGCCCGCACCTGTACTGGCAGTCCTGTCCGTACGTCAGGCCAGGGCACCCTAGGACACAGACAGACAACGTTATGTGTTTAATTGTACATGCAGCAGGTGAGTGAGTGAACGTTATGTCAGTCTCGTCCGTGCGTCAGGCCAGGGCACCCTAGGACACAGACAGACAACGTTATGTGTATAATTGTATATGTACCAAGTGAGTGAGGTAATGTTGTCAACACCGCAGTCAGCAATGGCCCCGTTCCACAAAGCGATCTTGTTTGTTTGATTATTTGTTGTTTAACGCCGCACTCAGCAATATTCCAGCTATATGACGGCGGTCTGAAACATATTTGAGTCTGGACCAGACAATCCAGTGATTGACATCATGAGCATCGATGCACGCAATTGGGATACGATGACATGCATCAACCAATCAGCGAGCCGACCACCCGATCCCGTTAGTCGCCTCTTAAGACAAGCATTACAAAGCGACCTTAGTGCTAAGGAGATCGTAACTCCAATACTTTAACTTGCGTACGTAGTGATCATCACAGAGCTCCAGATAAGCTTTTGGTGTTGTGGGTATTTTACCCATGCATTTTAAAATCATTGGGTATCAGTAATTCTATCTGGGTATTCAAATTTCTGTTACCCACTAGTTTTTACACATGTGGGTATTTAAGTTAAATATTAAAAACACTATTCATCTAGTCCCTGCAAACTGGTGTCGTGTGGGTTCGAGAGCTTTATAGGACTCAAAAATACCACGATACTTCCACAAGAAAGTGTGATGGCAAATGATCATGATGTAACTGTCATCGTGGAGTTTGGCAAGGTTGACGGAATGCCCGTATATAATTTCAAAATAAGTTGCTGATTTGCTAAACGAATACACAGGGTTACTTCACAATATTTTGATGATACGCACAAGTTTTTGTAGTTTTGTAGCCTATCTGTAATGTTCGTTGCGTATTTGATACGCTTGGATTTTATTTTACTGCGTATTTCTGCATTTCTGATGCGTATTTTACGCAGATACGCAGCTTATCTGGAGCTCTGTGATCGCTTCTTGAACTTTATATAACAAGGCCCAGGGTCCACGCAGCCAGTTAATAATGCCACGCAAACCGGGGAAGACGAACAACGATCCCCATTTAAGTCGGCTGTTACTAACATAAAATAGTGGGGATCTATTCTGACCGGGAATACGATCGGGGTGTGACAAGTGAGGTGATTAGACTCAATTAAACATATATGTAATGAAAACGGACTGATGTCATTTGAAGAACTGAAACTAAAATATAAGATAAAAGGTACAATATTAGACTATAGATATGTAATCTTCAATATACAAGAATCATGGAAAACAACAATCAAGAAAACAAGAAAAATAACTTTACAGATTTTGTATATAAACAGTTGCTAAAGTGATCTGACGAAGCCTGTAAAAGGCGCTAGAATCGTTCATGATAAATTAATATCAAATGAAGATAATCTTAAAGTTTGTGATAAATGGCAATCAATTTTTCACTGTGATTTTAATTGGAAAACGATATTTACTGTTTACAGATATAAACTGAAGGGTGTAAAACTTTTAGATTTTCAATACAGATTTCTACATGGAATTTTCTACACAAAGAAGGAACTATTAACAATGAATCCTGTGGACAGCAGTGTTTGTAGCTTTTGTAATGTTGTCAATGAGGACGTCAGCCATGTCTTTTTGGGAGTAGAATGAAACTAAACAATTTTGGAATGATGTCGAACTTTGGCTTAACAGTTATCTTTCACAAAAAATTAAATTGACAAAAATCTTATTTGGTTTGGTTCTAACTACTCTAATACTTTAATCAATCATGTAGTTTTATTGGGAAAAAGGCATATTCGTGTAAGTGGAATTAAAGGAATCAAACCGAAATTGGATATACTTTTGAAACTATATAAAAACATATATTCAATCGAGAAATTTATTGCTGTAAAAAAGGATGACAAAAATAACTTTAACAAAAAATGGTCACCTTTATTTTCAGCATTTGATTCATAACTCCCTGTTGATACATGCCATGTTTGAGTCTGATTGTGTGTTGCAACCGTTTTGGTTTGAAATAGGACAAGTTTGTTTCCAGCCCTTTAATTTTTTAAAGAGTGTATTGTGTCATTCTATGCAATCCGAAATAAGTCTTTGAGGGAATACTGTATCAATTTACAACTCTGGGAACAATAAAAAAGTTTTAAAAAAGTGTAGTGATTAGGGTAGTGAGTTTTAACTGAGGAATCGCACCAGCAGTGTCTTAGGCCTGACGAGTCGAAGCTTTAACCACTAGGCTACCACACCAACCCTACATAAAACTACCTGTAGTTGTACCAACAGGTGGGAAACCATCGTATTACATATAATATTCCACCCGTAAGAAAGGCTACTTACTCAAATTGCATCTCGATCCCAGCCACCCGACATTACACCCGGAAGGGCAGTCACCAGTCACTTTGTCGCATTGGCCTGCGGCAAGACATTGGCCACACTTGGAGTCACAGTTGGGACCATAAGTTAGTGACTTGCATTCTGCAAAATACAGTTAATACCGAGCATATAGTGTTATTATATGTACAGTCAGTAATTTGAAAGATAACATTTAGGGTCCCAACAGGTTAAAGGGCAAGTTCACACGGAAATGAACCTATTTTCCTTGTACTTTTTCCACATTAAAAGTGTTAACCTAGAAGTGTCATAGAAAAAAATATAAAAATATCACAATTAATTAACATATTTTTCGCATTAAAACTATTTCAAACTAAAAACTAAGTGACTGTTCTATTTCCATAACAAAAACACCATGGCTTATGCCCCTTGCAATATGACGTCATTGGTGCCAATTGATAAACATTATGACGTCATCATGCTTTTTTAGAGCCGCTTCACGTGGTGTGGGTACCGGTACAGTGTGTGATTCTTGCGTCTCAGATGCCAGCAAGCATAGTGTTATGCTGAGTCACCACTGCGCCGGAGTGTGTCGTAGGCCATGTTGTTTTACCGCAAACTGGTACTTGATATCTTTTGCGTTGAGAATAGACAGGGACCCAGTTGAATTGGCACCAATTACGTCATAATCTAAGGGGGATAACTCAGGCCTGTTTACCTCGAAAAACGAAGGCCTCATAAAGGCATATCATTTTCACACTATTGTGATCTTCCTACTTTCACTGTGAAAGAAATGAGTGTATATTTTCAAACACAGATACTAACTAATTCTAAAATTGCGTTTTGTTTAGAAAAAGAAAGAAAGTGATTTTTGCGTGTACACTTCCCCTTTAATGGACATTTCATACTTGATGCGTTTACCGTTGCAACTTTGAAATACTGACCTGTGTTGCACATGGGACCTGACCAGCCCGGGTCACATCCCGATGGGCACTGTCCGGTTTCTGGGTCACAATCCTCCACACCCATGCAGTGGCCGCACCTCGTGCAGTTCTCCCCGTAAGTGTTGGGGGGACATTCTGCAGGAGAGATTGTTCAAGGTGTAGATGAGGGTAGTGTCATTATGTGTCATTAATTTTAGTGGTGGTAGAAACGGTTGTAAATATATTTATAGTAATTATCAGTGACAGCACATGATTGAGCTGCTGGTAGAAAAATCAAGTGCTGTCGTGGCCAGATTTGAATCGCAGTGAACAGCGGTTTGAACTTTCCAGAATATTAGGTGTTATGGTTTAAGGGCGTCGTGGGCCAACAGAAGGCCCATGTGCACCCAGCACATTGACTTAACTTTATAAGAATCACAAAGTATCATATTGCAAACAACCATCACGAAATCGTTCAGATAACATAAAGGAGACGTCAGTATAAGTAATATTCATTTGGAAACACGTATACATTGCACATGGGAATTAATGATAGGAAAAAGAAGAGAAAAGACAGAAGAATAACCTTTGCTTCATGACATGGATGAAAACATAGACACTTTTATTTCTGAAGCATGGAATACTCGTTCAATCAAAAAGCAGTAGACCAACATGATAGAATGTTGAAATGATTTTAAAATCATAGAACTAAATCTGTTTAAGCCATTTGAGAGCCTATCTAAATTACGTCAGATTTTCCAAATGACAAAATCTAAAACTGCCCCTGATACGGAGCGTTACATGATCTTGGGGCCCAAAACTGTAACTAAAAATGCATCAATAAACCTCAAGCACAGTTTGTCCTATGTCATATCCCTAGAGCATTTAGTTGGCTGGTGTTAATACATTTTCAGGCGTCAAATAGCAATTGCCAAACTTAGAAGCAGAATGTTTTTGTACTAGAATAAGAGTTATCTGCCCTTGTTGTACACATGAACTTGGTTGTTTCCAGAAGGCTAGCTGTCTATAATATCGACAAGTGGGAGATTCGAGGCCTTTTTCGACCTGAGTTGTTTCTAATCTAATTGCCTGAGCGGTTTGGATACCTATTTGGAAGACCCGTGAAGATTCCGGGGTAGAATAGGTCTTCAGCAACCCATACTCGCCGTAAAAGGCGACTATGCTTGTCGTAAAAGGCGACTAACGGGATCGGGTGGTCAGGCTCGCTGACTTGGTTGATACATGTCATCGATCCAAATTTCGTGGATCGATGCTCATGAGGTCTCTCATTTATACTGTTTATAACGCGCCTGTAGAAGGCTTCGAAAACGTAGAGAGACATACACTAACTATTTATGTATTCGTAGACAGTCCCATGTCGCAAGGGAAGAAAAGGTCACTACAGTCATACAATTTAGCTTCAGGAAGTGTATCAAAACATTCAAGGTTACCGTGAATGCACAATCCTACTCCCATCACAATTGCGTGGATCGAAACTCATGATGTCAATCATGTCAATTGTCTGGTCCAGACTCGATTATTTTACAGACCGCCGTCATATAGCTGGAAACAATTTGGAAACAATTCCTACCAGCTTCCAACACTGTTCTGGATTCAGGAACTGAGACAGTGACAATGTTCTAGACGTGCCTGAGTGCACTTTCCGTACATTAATTCTGGGACCTTTTACTTTTCTTTTGTATAATTCATTTGCCTTTTAAGTTTAAACCTAGAACTTTGTGTTAAACTACACATTACTATTTATTGATCTTGTGGAGCCTTTTACTGATTTGTTTTGTTGTATAACGTCGCACTCAGCACTAATCCATCTATATGACGGCGGTCTGGACCAGACAATCCAGTGATTGAAATCATTAACATCGATCTACGCATTTGGGATACGATGACATGCATCAACCAAGTCAGCGAGTCTGACCATCCGATCAAGACAAGCATGGGTTGCTGAAAGACCCGGATCTTTACGGGTCCACTGATGGGAGAGTGAGTGAGTGAGTGAGTGAGTATGGTTTTACGCCGCTTTTAGCAATATTCCAGCAATATCACGGCGGGGGACACCAGAAATGGGCTTCACACATTGTACCCATGTCGGGGTGGAACCCGGGTCTTCGGCGTGACGAGCGAACGCTTTAACCACTAGGCTACCCGACCGCCCCCACTGATGGGAGAGATTGTTCAGGGTGTATATCAGGGTAGTTGTTTTACGTCTGGAGATAGGCACATGTACTGTGCTAGTGTTGAGATAGTTTAGTTGATGGTGTTTATTACACAATGTATGTCAAACACATACGGCGTTTATTAGTCGACAAGCAAGTACAATGGTGTCGATGAGTGAGTGAGTGAGGCTTAATTTTTTAATATTTTTACTGGACTTTCGTTCCCACTTACCTATATCACACCTTTCTCCTGTCCACCTTTCCTCGCACCTGTTTGGACAGTGTCCAGTCCCGACGTTGCAGGTGTCCCCTTTCCGGCACTGACCACAGGGTGTACAGTACGGGCCGTAGGTTCCTTGAACGCACTCTGAAACAACATGCCGTATCTTGGTCATCAAAGGTAGAAGTACAATACAGACATTCACTCATCCGTGAAGCTTCAACGCATATACCATAGATAAGCTGCCACTACGTAGTAGAGATTAAAGAACGCAAACAAATACCGCTGGTTTCGAATAACCGACACTTTGGTATTTTACGAGCGCTTCTAGTTTATGCTGATTTCGCACTCGATTAGTAAGGCGGAGAGCAACACCCCATAACCATAGTTACACAATGTATAAATAACCAGTTCCTAGAGATCTTAGTACGAAGATTGGCGTAGATTCTATGCTCTAACATTAACAACACATCGTGAAATTACTGTCAGAGCAAAATGGCATTTCTTACTCAGTAGCAGTGGAATGGTGTAACTGTATTCTCTGCCCGACATCTCCCTCACCTCTGTCACACCTGTCGCCGACCCAGCCAGACTGGCATATACTCTGGGGGCAGCGTCCCGTGTCCACGTCACACCTTTCACGACATCGTCCACAGGGAGTACACTCCGCTCCGTATGTGTTGTTACTGCACTCTGGGAAGAAGTTAAATATCACTCAGATGGCCTATTGATTGAAGACTTCGCTCGCCACGCCGATGACACGGTTCGATTCCCCACTTGGGTACAATGTGTGCAGCCCCCAACGTGATATTGCTGGAATATAGCTTAAAGCGGCGTAAAAAGTAACTCATTCACATGTTTTGGTACATTTGTGTTTCGGCATTTACGTGTGTACTTTTACTGTGATGTTTACTAAGACGAGCATGAACGTATGATTGGCTGCATGTGCTTGTAAAAGAACCTATCTCACCCTTGACACAGAGTGGACCGGCCCAGCCAGTTTGGCATCCGTGCGGGCATTCTCCACTGTCCGGGTCACATGATAGCCCGAATCTGCAGTGACCACACACCGAGGTGCAGTTGTCGCCATACGTGCCTCCACCGCAGGCTGCAAAACAAAAGTAGGGTTGAAATTGTGTCCACATAAATGTCCCGAGCAAGCTATCCTTTATAATCCCGACTGTCTTCACTGTTTCCACAAAAGATTTCTACCACAAACCGACTGTCAACGCTGTTTCCACAAATGATGTCCACAACAAACCGACTGTCCACGCTGTTTCCACAAATGATTTCCACCACAAACCGACTGTCCACGCTGTTTCCACAAATGATTTCAAACACAAACCGACTGTCCACGCTGTTTCCACAAATGATGTCCACAACAAACCGACTGTCCACGCTGTTTCCACAAATGATTTCCACCACAAACCGACTGTCCACAGCTGTTCTCACTAAAGATTTCCACCACAAACCGACTGTCCACAGCTGTTCCCACAAATGATTTCCTCCCACATCCCGACTGTCCACGCTGTTCCCACAAATGATTTCCACCACAAACCAACTGTTCACAGCTGTTCCCACAAATGATTTCAACCACAGACCGACTGTCCACAGCTGTTCCCACAAATGATTTCCTCCCACGTCCCGACTGTCCACGCTGTTCCCACAAATGATTTCCTCCCACATCCCGACTGTCCACGCTGTTCCCACAAATGATTTCCTCCCACATCCCGACTGTCCACAATGTTCCCACATATGATGTCCTTTCTATCCCCGACAGTCTCCAATGTTCACAAATATAATGCAATTCTAACCCCAACTATCCACAATGTACCCATATATGGTGCCCTTTCTAACTCCTGGGGGCACGGGGGGCCCAGTTGTCTAAGGTGCCCCCAGAAACCTATGATTGTGGGTTCGAATCCCGGTTCGCCCTGATTATGTTTCTAGGTTTGTCAGCACCATACCCGTGCTCGTGGGTTTCACCGAAGTGGTAAACGTCTGAGACCTGCATCACTTCGGGCTTTCCTCCCACATTAAGCTGACACGCCGTGATATAACTGGACTACTGTTAAAAGCGGCGTTAAACCCAACTCACTCACTCACTCACTCACTTTCTAACTCCTCATTAAGGTATATATGATCAGGTCGGATCGAAACCGACTCCACTGGAAGCACTCGTAACATGGAAACATACGTTCCACATTTCCGGATTCCCATTATCCTCATAGATCCAGGGGATGATATCTCCATTCTTTTGTGATAGATACACCTGGACCAATACGCAACCATGACTCCGTTTAATTCGGTTTGAGTGACATGACGCTGAACACATAGCGAGTAAAAATACACCACTGAGCGGGTTAAATGCTGTGCTGAGTTAGTGATAGATAAGGGAGTTTGTGTTGGTTGGTTGGTTTGTTGTTTAACGCCGCACTCAGCAATATTCCAGCTATATGACGGCGGTCTGTAAATAATCGAGTCTGGACCAGACAATCCAGTGATTGACATCATGAGCATCAATCCAAACCATTGGAGAGGGTGTGTGTGGTGGTTCACTTGAAACAAGGCTATAGTGGCAAGTGAGTCCACGTTTTTATCATAATGGACTGGAGATGCTCTGAATGATAGAAGATGGAGTACCATATTAGCAAACTGGTGCCTACGAAAAAAAAACCTCAACCGGAGGTTAAGAGAATCTGTTTTTTTAAGTTGACACCTTAATGTACCGTTATCTAGAAGATCTTTCTTACACTTATCGGGAAGTGACAGTTACGAAGATGTACTACATGTATTTGCAAATTTCGATGGTTAGATATACTCATTTGAGGTTTAATACGTACGAAGGTGAGTTTGACTCGGTAGTTAAGATATACTCATAATGTGGTTGTACTTACGAAGGTGGAAGTGACACCACAGTTAAGATGTACTTACGAAGGTGGAAGTGACGCCACAGTTAAGATGTACTCAAGAAGTGGTTGTACTTACGAAGGTGGAAGTGACGCCACAGTTAAGATGTACTTACGAAGGTGGAAGTGACGCCACAGTTAAGATGTTCTTACGAAGGTGGAAGTGACGTAACAGTTATGTTGTACTCAAGAAGTGGTTGTACTTACGAAGGTGGAAGTGACGCCACAGTTAAGATCTACTCAAGAAGAGGTTGTACTTACGAAGGTGGAAGTGACGCCACAGTTAAGATCTACTCAAGAAGAGGTTGTACTTACGAAGGTGGAAGTGACGCCACAGTTAAGATCTACTCAAGAAGTGGTTTTTCTTACGAAGGTGGAAGTGACGCCACAGTTAAGATCTACTCAAGAAGTGGTTGTACTTACGAAGGTGGAAGTGACACCACAGTTTAGATCTACTCAAGAGAATTAGTTGTACTTACGAAGATGGAACTTGAACTCGGCAGTAAAGTTGTAGGATGTGACCTGGAAAAAGTTGATCGGATACTTTTTCTTTCCCTTAAACTGCAGCAGGGGTTTTGTTCTCTGGTCCCCCTTCATCCCAATGCTGACTGACCCCTGTCCATCCCACGCCACCCAGAACGTGTTGTACTGTGTGCAGTTCAACACCGTCTTAAGCTTGTAGTTGTGGAACGTATTGCAGGAATAACAACCCTCGATGATGCCGGAGATTCGGTGCGAGTCGGTGACACCGAGCGATATGAAGTAATAGTTCCCTTTCCTGGACGCCACCTTGATTCTCTCCGTCAACAGGACGTACACGTTGCCACAAGACTTCACTTGGAAGGTCAAGGATGTGTGGCCGCCGACGGGGACGCCGTAATCGTTGCCGAGAACAAACTTTGCCCTTCCGTCCGTCGTGGTGGTAACCAGGCGAGCTGAAACTCAGAAGTTCAATGCAGTCAAGGAAAAACTTCATATTTTCACTTCTACCTTTATTTCTACCCCTTAACCCAATCGCATTAAATCAGACCTTAGTTCTCGCTACTGCTAAACAAAGGTCTGAAGACATCCCATTAGGGGTCACGTCAGAACGACCTTTCATCCGACCAATCAGAGCGTCGCTTACCAGAATATGAAAGTGACAGTCGAAATGTTATTTCTTATCATGCAACTTTATTCCGAACGATAGTTACGGGTTTAACGACTGAACCCATACAATCTAGCCCATCTATTAGCCATTCCATAATGTTCTTTTGTCCAGGTTTCAAATTTGTAATGGAAAATATGTCAAAATATGTTTCGAAGCGTAGTCGCCAATTTGAAATTAGTGCCGCAAAGCACGAGAAAGCTGCCTTCTGATTGATCATTCCATTGTTCGGTCAAAGTTCGCGCAAGGTCGGTCTGACGTGACCCGTAATGGGATGTCTTCAGATCTTTGTATAGCGTAGCGAGAACTAAGATCTGATTTTAATGAGATTGCCCCTTAACCATGACTACGATCACGCTTTACGGCTCCTCTGTTCTATCTCGCCACGTTAAAAGAGGTTTAAAAGAAGGCAATAAGAGTAGGTTAAAGTTAAAGCTGATATTAGGTGAGTGGGTGAGTGAGTGAGTGAGTGAGTGAGTTAAAATTTAACGTCGCATCGGCATTATCCCAGCCATATAGCGACGAGACCAAGTTTATATATGCACAAGTGAGTCATTTATGCAAAGTTATATTTAAAAACACATTACATCAAACACATGTGGGCATATCAATCATACAGATTAAAACACGGGCTATAGGCCACCAATAACCAAAACTTATATTAGGTATTCAGTCTGATATAACATGCCTTCGGGTTTTCCTCCCACATCAAGCTGATACGGCGTGGTATAATTGAAATACCGATCAGACGACGTAACGCCAAATTCGCGCTCACTTGCTTGCTTGCTGATATCAAATGCCCATGTGTCCAGTATAAATGGCACAAACACCCGCTTTGCACCTACTCTATACTTGCTTTCCTCGGGGTCAATGTAAAGCACATTTCAGTGTAATTAAAACACCGGAACACACCTAGTCTGTCACACAGACCATGGAACAAATATATCCAATACAGCCCACGCTAATCTATAATGTTTGGCAAGTCTAGATTACTGCAGTATCTGAAAATGACGAAAAGTCTGGGCTCCTTTTCATTATATTTTATAACTATAACTTAACAACGTTTTTTTCTGTAAAATATGTTTCATTTCAGAGACTTGACGTTAGTCTAGAACATGCCGTTAGATGACATTTGCACGAGATAGTCATGTTTCGGCGCATTGCACGAAGATAATATTTAATATCATTGATCACTCTCTGAACGATGCACTCTGCAACCACCATTCGGCACTATTTTTGATTATTATATTATTTTACTACTTAAATAGTTTTAACAAGAATAATATTACATCTATGTGAAACAAAGAGCTTGTCTAAACCTGGTATATTCCGTATGACGTTTATGGAAAAAAATAATGTTTAATAAATACAGAGACTTGACTTTTGTTTTAAAATAAGAAAAAAGACTTCATGTTTATTACGTAACACATAATTAAATGTACAATTCACAAGTACAAGTGCACAATATATATATTATACAATATACACATGCGTATAATGCACACATGTGACTTATATATTGATATCAATCACTGTATGGTCTGGTCCACACTCGATTATATACACACCGCCATCTTATAGCTGGATTATGGCGGCCTTAATTTTAACAACAAACAAACAGACAAGTATATAATTTTTCATAATTATTCAGATATGACCAAAAGCAGGAACACCACCTACCGTTACGATCAACACTGTCGTCAAGCTTATATCCTGTCTTGTTTCTGACATTTTGAGTGAGTGAGTATGGTTTTACGCCGCTTTTAGCAATATTCCAGCAATGTCACGGCGGGGGATACCACAAATGGGCTTCACACATTGTACCCATGTCGGGAATCGAACCCAGGTCTTCGGCGTGACGAGCGAACGCTTTAACCACTAGGCGACCCGACCGCCCTCTGACATTTTGATCTGGCCCTAATTGTAAATGTTCTGTAGCTCACCCTGAGGTTAGTACCCAACAGTTCACGTCGTGGTTAGTACCCAACAGTTCGCGTCGTGGTTAGTACCCGACAGTTGCTAACTCACCTGCATGTAAGTGCAGCAAAAGAATGTCAATGACGACGACATACGTGGCCACCGACGACACACACACCGACGACATGCTCCCGCGGCGTTTTCCTGCTTTACAACAGTGTAGATGATATTTGAAACTAGTTTTCAATAATGCATGGACCATCGACTGTTTCTAATGCCAGCAGGTCAAATGAAGGCTTGACTTCCACGTGATAGCATCGTCTTACCACGTGAGTGAAACACTGCACGTATACTGGAGTGTTTCGACTGGTCCTGAGTATTTGTGTCGCCTGTCTGGACACGGGTATAGCAGGCTGTGTTCAGAATCCGTGCTAGAAGTTGATGACCAGTACTGTATGTACTTCACCATGCCTCGCTGTTCTACTCGAATTGTAAGTACTGGTCTATGGCTCGGGACTCACTATTGTTTCCTTTGTGATGCTAACTAATGGCTTATGTCAAGTAGTGTTTCCGATCACGTCGTTTGACAGCTTCACCGTGTTAGGTAGTAAATACCTGAATGCCGTTTTAGCTTTTGTGGGTTTTTTGGTTCTCATGAACTGCTGTGTTGAATTAGCGCTGTATAGGACTATATAATCGGTAGAGGAAATCATTTCGTGGTAAATCAAATGTATTCTATGGGGTGTAGAAGACCACCCCCAACTCTTTCTAAAAATATTTGCTAATTTTGGAATTATATTATTTTTGATGTTGTATACACAAGTTCCCCGTCCAAAGAGTATCGCAGGTCAGGTACGATGACTTGAAATTGGCTGATTGCTTATTCTGGCACCTCATGGCGAGGGTCGCTGCTTTTTTCAATCACTGGTTTGCTTGGCCCTGTCTAGATTTGTACGTGTCATAGTGATAAAGATAGAATATAACTGACTGTGGCAATAAACAACATTCACTGACCTACTCAACAAGTAACTGGGAAAATGTATTCTTAATTGCATTCACAATTTGATATGTACAGCAAAGCGGAAGTTGAGGTAGCTTTCTTGTTTATCTCTAAATTAAAAAGAAATCCAACATCATGCTTCTTATTTGTCTTTGTTGTATGTAGAGTTGGGAGGACGATCAATTTGTTAGGCAAGTTCATATCAGTAGTGAGAAATATTTGCTGGGCGAAATAATCCAGTGATCGATATTGTGAACAAATCCATTGGTATGCGATGACGTACACTCAACCAAGTCACCAAGACAACTCGATCCATTACGTTGCCAAATATTGAAATTAATTTATATATATTCCGTCATTCACCTGTTCATGATGATTTGTGACAATAACAGCAGAACATGTTAAATATATACTTCGTTGTTTTCTACAGGTTGTGATATGTGTATCTATTTATATACCCATTACTCAGCCACAAGCAATACACGTAACACCTGCCGCACGCGAGAACAACACAACTTCCGATTAGATCACTTCTGACACATGTCAGGTGTATCATGTGTTTTCATGACACATACCCGACATATACAGTCCCTTGACACATGTCAAACACAACAAACTCACGCGCACAGAAGCACGCAGGCACGTATATTGTCATCACGTATAGTTTGACAGTACAGGTTTACAGGTACATACCTGTATGACCCTTTCTTGTACAAATCACATAAACAATCGTGACCAATGGAGTTTGGTGTAAGTGCAATCCCGCAAAATGCCGACATGTAAATGTTGTAAAAGCCACATTGCTATAGTGCTTTACATCACAGGGTCTGCCCAGATGGGCTCACCGACCTTTCGCCTGTAACCCTTGCACTCCAGGCCCTGTAGACTTGCACAAGCAGTGTTCGAAATAGACGTCGCCCTGGAGGCCCGTGGCCGACAGATTTGCTCTCGGGCTGATGGTTTTAAATTTCAGCAGGCCCTTACGGCCTGCAGTTTAGTTTAAGCTGTAAACATGGTAAATGAATCACAACATTGAGATTGCTTGGTGAAACAGGGTCCAGATTTAAAATACGCCGCTCGTTAACTTTTTTAACGCCGTAGGCCAGTGTACCGGCCACACCGGAGCTACGCCAAAATAATATATATTTTCATGAACCTACCTGTCATATGGTTCATTTATTAAATCAGTCACTTTTCAAAACGTCCGAAATTATTTTGACATTATGAACTATTTCCCGCAATGTTACCGAAAAAATATAATCTGAGAATACGGGTCCATATCGAACATGTCAAAGAGCAATATAAGACGTTTCATGCAAAGCGTAAATAAAGTAATAAATAAGATGAAAAAAAAATATTTATAAAAATTATCAAACTTATATTACATCTAAGCTACTAAGTTAATATTTCAATCTTTTCGGGCGATCGTGTAATGTAAGTCAAATGGCAAAGCGGCATTTGTCGCCTCGATTTTTTAAGCTCGGACACCAAAATGCCAATACCAAAATATATGCATGAGAAATCTTCGTCACAGGTCGTAGCTTAGCACGATATGTCCACGAAGTTCCATGTGTTAAACATAGATCGCGATTTACTGCTTAAAACGTTTAAAGTAACACGATCTAACCAAGACTTTCTTTCTAAATATATCATACACGAGGACGGTATCTATTGCTCAACTTGATGGGCTACCTTTGGTCATGTGCTTGATTTTGACCAATCACGATTCTTATATTCGATTACGAGCAATGCGTCATTTGAAATCAATTTCTATCCAATTTACTCCTGGCGAGTTTACTGTAATGTTATTGATGTTCAGAGCGAACGAATGTTCGCACGTGTTAGTTACACAAAGCTTCGAAAACGGAGGTATTTACTCATGTCCCTGAGTGGAAAGCCACTGTTATCAGGAAATATTTGATGATAGTTCGTACTTAAAATTCTTTTTATCATCATTTCTCCATTACTTTAACCATAAAAAAAATAAAAAATAAAATTGCCGAAAATGGCCTCTTATTTTCTCTTCCTAACTTGCCTAAGTTGGACATTATGACGTGTTAGCTTATTTTTTTATTTAAAACGAACTTAATGAAGTCATAAATGCATTATTCAAATAATGTGATAAACATTACGTTCATAGTTATAAACAGTACGATTAGACCTCTCAAATGAAATATGGCATGTAGTCGCAAAGATGCTTTACAAGCTGATAATTTCCTGGATAAATCTAGGCTTCATCTATCATCTCTAGGAACTCGGTGTGATGGCAGTAAAAGCTTCTGGTTGACTGGTTGTGTTTTGTAATTTATATTGCAAGAGTATGTCTCCCTAAAATGTTTGGGCCTACAGTTTTTCCCCTGGGCCTACATTTTTTTTAAATGTGCAGGCCCTTAATGCTCTCAGTTTACACTTCTGAGTGTCGGACACTGTGCACAAATCTCTCAGGCAATTATTAGTTTTAATCATATGTTCTAGATTATGTATTGGAGAAAACACGCTTACGAGGTTTTGGTAGACAGAGCATGCCCAGGGGAGAGGGCATGCTCTGTCTACCAAAACCGAGGGAGAGTGTTTTTCCATACTTATAAACCGTCTTAATTGATTAAATGTTATAACGAGCATCTATAAATGAGGCGCTTCATTATAGCGCTTCCTTGAAGACGTGATATCATAACTTGCACGTGAAATTCGCTGACTTGCCAGGCGTCCAAGAGCACTTGGATGTGTCAACAACAAAACACAACTAAAATACTTACTTTTAAATGAAAGTGAAATCTTCGGTTTCTAAATGTTTGTGTTGCAATATTCCACTTCTTTTAAACCTTTCAAAACGAAAATTCGCAAATTTTAAAGGTGTTTTTTGCTCTATAAGATTTTCGACTTTAAACAATCCAACCGTTACATAGAGGTAGTTGTGACGTAGCGGCTAGCAGTTACTGCACGTGCAAATTGTGCAGCATTGATAAGCGCTTGTTTAAAAGCATGTGTTTTGAAACCTTGCTGTCCTTTCACCAGAGACTCTGAAGTGATGTCGCTTTTAAATGTCCACGCGGAACTGTACACCTGACATTCAATTTTAATTGAATTAAAATTTTGAATTGCTACTTGTCATTTTTTCAGTTACTTGGTTAAACCTGGGATTTGAGGTTTTACATTCGAAGTAAAACCTGCCAAACGAAAATAAAAACCTCATAATAGGTTTTACTTTGAAAGTAAAACCTCTTAACGAGTTTAACTTTGAAAGTAAAACCTCACAATAGGTTTTAATGCCTATAGAAAGAACTCTCTTACTTAATAGAGATCCCAATGCATGAATAGGTTTATAAGTAAATAATAAGAACAAGTTGTCCCCATTAGAGACTGGGGTCCATACTGTCCACGTATCTAGACTTGCCTTTTAGGACGATAGAATTACTACACATCCATGGACTTTTCTTTAAGTACAGCCTTGGGGCAAGGCTAAGGCCCGTGCACCACCGCCCGCCCTGCCCGTAGAACATGCCCAGCTGGTAGCTCTGAAAATATAAGTGAGTCAGCCATTCCTCCCCGCAAAGTAATTCTAAACATATCAAAGCATCTGTAAGAAAGTGTGAGATTAATTGAATAAATGAGCAGCTAGAGATAAAACCAGGATAAAAACGAAATAAAGTCTTGAGCTAACACAGGCATTAAACAGATTCAGGTACGACTGAAATAAACTTAATCTATTTTGGAATGTGCGGACTCCGTCAACATCAAGCTCCACACAGCACCTATCTCGTAGTACAGCGAGTGTACATGCGAGATAAGGCTGCAAGGAGCTGCCGGTATGGCGTGACACTTCTGATACAGTACTGGGCACCCCGGATATGTTATTGCATGTGTTACCGTGGTTACAGAAAGACCATCTGGAAAATGATGGTGTCACACACAGGATACATCATACCCGCTCGTCTGGATAATTTACGCAAAGGTAGCTGTACAAGTACAGATTAGTTTTATACAAAACATCTAACAAAGAGATTGGTTTCAATTTTTAAAATAAGAATCTGCTATTTCGTTGTTGTTGTGAACATGTGACTTCTCCTCGCTTTTAGAATTACTGTGAAACTATCAACCTTTTCACACCAAAAAACACATCTAAACTGCCGGGAGAAAGATACGAGTTTCCAAAGTTGTGTTTTAGAGTGAGTGAGTGAGTGAGTGAGTATGGTTTTACGCCGCTTTTAGCAATATTCCAGCAATATCACGGCGGGGGACACCAGAAATGGGCTTCACACATTGTACCCATGTCGGGAATCGAGCCCGGGTCTTCGGCGTGACGAGCGAACGCTTTAACCACTAGGCTACCCGACCGCCCCTTGTGTTT